TCAGACACACAAGCTTGAATATCATATGGTTTCTCTTATATGAGAAACTTAAAATATAGATAAAAAGCAAAATAAAATATGAATAATAGGACGGAGGGACATAGATCTTTTTAAGAGTGGGAAGGGGACCAAGAGATGGAGGGGTGGGAGAGGGAGAGCAGAGGAAGCAGATGTGAAATGAATGGAGATGTGTCATGTCCATGAACGAACCCCCATGAGGAATGTAATCATTATGTACTGTAGACATGGGCTAATAAAGATTGAAAAAACAGTCCTGGCTGAAGTCCCTCTCCCAGGGGTTGGTTCTGCCTCTGTGTCGCAGATGCAGGAGGAACACAGACTGCCGGTTACTCTGGTGCTTGCACTGCCCCGTGAAATGCCCCATTTCCTTCGGCCCTCTGGCTTTCATCTTAAAGGGAGGTCATTCCATAGCGCAGTTCATCAGAGTAACAGAGACGTAAGTGATGAGCCACAAAGCACGGTTCTCTGTGGCTTCCTTCCCTTTTGTTCTCGCACTGTGGGACCTCCTGGCCCTTCCCCATGGACAGATCCTGTAGGTGCCATCCACAGCACATATGAAGTAACCTGGGCTTGCTGCCAGGAAGCACCATCATCAGCAGTGAGAGCATAAAGGATAGCCATGGCCTCTCAAGTGTCTCCAGGGGGTGGACACATTTGGCCAGAAATTTACCTTCCTGATTTATGGTGTCTGAGAGCAGCACTTTTCCAGTTCAGCTTCATTTTTCCTCCAAAGCAACTTAACACATTGGAGCCATTGCATCATTTAGCTCATACACCTAAAAGTGCTTATATTACTTGTTCTTTATTTGAAACCAGACTCAAAGGCCGCCTAGTTTTCTGGCTACTGAAGCCGTGGAAGGTGTTGACACTTTTGTCACTACAAGAGTGAATCACTTAGGCTGGTGCGATGCCTGGGGTAATTGCATGCCCTCAGCCCCATATTTTGAATTCAAGTGATGGACTTTGGTATGTTGGGACCACCTAATTTTGAGATCATATTCTGAACACCAGCTCAGGTACCCCTTCCGCCCTAGGCAGGGGACAGCCACATGACCTACACTGCACTGACTGTAACCCCTGCCTGGAATGTGAATTGTGAGCAGAGTACTGTAGAGATTCAACATGGTGACAGATCATCCAGAAATGGTGACACCCTTCTTAACCTGTGCCCACAGTGGCTCCCTGTCTACACTTCTGCTTCTAGCGCTGGGGCCTACTCCCAGGGTTGGCTCCCCAGTCTTTCTTTCCATTTACCTGCACACTCCTAATTTCCCTATTGTCACAATCCTTTGCTATAAGTTAATCAGGTTCCCTTTCTGCAGCTTGTTACCAGCAAACATTGACACAAACATTTTAAGGTGGCTTTGGGATTTGGGGAAAGTCAGAAGAGAATCTGTGTTGGCATGGTGCTGAAATTTCCTTCTTCCTCGTCCCTTTGATTGAGGCTTTGGAAGTTATTATAAAATATTACTCAGGAAGCTGGACACTTAACATTCTTATTCCCAGTGCCTGAATCATAGAAAACTAATTTCCCTTCGCTTGTCAGAGACCAGCCAAGTGTGACCTAGAACATGTCAACTTTGACAGGGGTGATTTGAGAAGGAAGGAAATGTCTGCAAGCCTGGATGCTTCAAGTCTCAGGGTGACTGAATTGGAGGTTTTGGGAGAGGCATGCATTCACAAGACACTAGAGAGAGAGAACAGAGATGCTGAATTTGCTGTCTGGCGGCAGCCACGCAATGCATACAGTGTGCCACAAGAGGGCGAGGCTGGAATTGAGGATTAAAACAATGCACAAGGCAACTGGCAAATGTCTCCTGCTCAGTGCGGGAGTGTAGCTTGGACTCATCAAGACAGAAAAAGGGAGTGGGGTGGAGAAACTTTTAACACTGTCCAGAAAGAACAATGGATGAGATACCGGTGAGAACTCCAGGCCCCGGAGCAGTAGGATCATTTCCTCAGGCCTCTGCCCCAAAGGAAGTTGACCATTTCTCAATGTTTCAGTGACATTCACCTCCAGCAAGCCTGCTGCTGTCCAGGGCCACCCCTTACGCTGTATGGAAGGCCCGGGGACGTCCCCAGTGTTAGAGCCTTTGGTGAATGGATTACACAAGAGTCAGTGTAACTTCAGTCACAGCCTGCTTGGTGTTGATGGGCATTTGCTGTTGACGTCCCAAGTCATCTGGCAAAATGTCACACAGATGAGGTTCATCTTAAAGGGAGAGGTAAAGTGCCCTGGTTTCTCTTCAACTCATGCATACCTTTTGCTTTTAAAAGGAGATAATTCTTCCATTTTCTGAAATAAATTCCTATTGATGTGTGACACATATATTGAAAAGTCAGTGCACAAATCTTAATGCTCATAAAGTGAGCATACACATTCAAAAAGCATTAAAAAGCAGACTTATCAGCTTTCCAGAAGTTTATCCCTGGTGTTCCCTCCACAGTACCTTCCTGCAAGAGTAAATGTCAGCCCCGCTTCTCCACCAGAGATGAACTTTTCCTGATTTTAAAACTTTTATGTAGTATCTGCCGGGAACATTTATGTAGTATGTGCGCTCTTGCTTTTTTAATAGTTTACCTGTGTTGCTATGGGTAGCATTAGGTTGTTCATTCTCATTTCTTTATAGCATTTCCTTGGATGAACATTTACTTTGGTCCTTTTTTGTATTTATTGATGTATTTATTTTATTGCTTCAGGGAATTGAACTCAGGATCTTGTGCTTGTTAGGCAGGTACTTATGCCACTGAGCCATATCCCCAGCCCTGGCTCTTTTTTAAATGTTGACCCACTCTAAACCTTGGAGGGCCTCAAGCTTGCCAAAGGAGTTTTTAAAAAACCTCACTTAAAACCAAGGCACTGAGATAATTCACCAATATTCAATAAAAGCCAGTTTTTAAAGCAACAGAGACATGCGTCTAGCCACTATCTTTGTCGTCTTTTCTTCCTTGGGGAGAAATGATCAGTGTCTTCAACTGCTGGTCTGATAGCACTGTTCCTTCTATAAGGACTGCATTTATCAAAGTTATGCTTTATAGTCATCATCCAATTCAACCTGACAGGTTTCCAAAGTAGTTCAGTGTTCTAATAGGTAACACTTTGACTGAAAAACAAGTAACAGCTTTTGGAGCAAGTTATCAGATCAAAACATGCTCCAAAACTTGATAATTCGCCCTCAAAATGGAGAATGGTTTTACTTGAGGTTATCACCTAACTGCTATCTTACGATCTGACTGGAGCAGGAGTTAAAGAGCTGTCTTGGGAAAATAACTTCCAGAAAGTCCAAGTCCCTTTCACCCATAAGTGAATTGGGCTGTTATCGAGGGTGGGAATGTTATTTGCTATGTCATGGCCTGGTAAGGAACCGACATTTCTATCTCTTCTCTCATCTGCAAGCTAAAAGTCTGCTTTTGGGCAGTGAATCTCTGAGTACCTTGGGGTTGACCCACCTTCTGCACAATCCAGTGACAACTTCTGCTCTCTACTTTATTTTTGAGGATATTTCTATAGTGAATGGCCTGAGAGAAGAGAGACAGTGCCTCCTGGTGCACAGACTGGATCCTTGATCAAGTCCTTTCTCCTGCCAGTGCAAAGTCTGAGCAGGTTTTTTATCAACCTTTTTAAAGCATTGGAGGCTTCTAAAACTCAGGGTTTTCAGCTGTGGCACAAGCCCACTGTGTACCTGGTGTGTGCATTACCCAACCTGTGGGACTTGGCTCTGTGGCTTAATTGTTTCAGAGGATAGCAGACAAACCCGGAGAAGCTTCTATTTGGGAACTATCTCAGACATGTTTGTTTGTTTCTCTCTTTTTTTTTTTTTTTTGTGGTACCGGGGATCAAACTCACAACCTCACGCTTGCCAGGCAGGCACTTAGGCTGCTGAGCTAAATCCTTGGCCCTCAGCCATGTTTCTTTATCTGTCTTATTTTATTTTATTTTAAAATTGTTATTAATACATCTTTTCACTGCATTCCTCATGGGGAGTTGTACATGCACATAACACATTTTCTTTCTTATTTATCCCCATCCTCTCCCCTCCATTCACTTCTTGGTCCCCTTGTCTTTTACAAAAGATTTACCTCCCTGTTTCTTGAGGGTTTTTTTTGGGGGGGGGGTCTTTTCCTTTTTATCGGTACCGGGGATCGAACTCACGACTGTCTGCTTGCAAGGTAGGCACTTAGGCCGCTGAGCTAAATCCCCAGCCCCACCTCCTTGTTTCTTATCATCTATCTTTTATTATGCTCTTTGATTTATTTGTATGTCGGGTTTATCCTGTAAGAGAAACCATGTGATGTTTAAGCTTGTATGTCTGATTTATTTCACTTAACACTATGACTGGACCTGTTTCTGAGACAGAATCTTAAATAGTATTAAGATGCTTCTCCACTGATTGTGGGATTATGTCCCAATAAACCCATCATATATAAAAAAATCATAAGTCAAAAATGTATTTCATACATGTCACCTATCGAATAGCATAGGTTAGCCTTAGCATACCTGAAATGTGCTGAGAACACTATTAGCCAGCAACTGAGAAAAATCACATAATACAAATTCTGTTTTATAATAAAGCAGTGAATATCGCTTGTAGAGACACAGATGGGAGTTTTGTAGACATGATATGATACAAAAACACAGCATCCAAAACCTGCCAGCACCACAGGAAAATATGGGCTGCTTCTTCTCGTGATCCTACACCTGACTGGGAGATGCGACTCGCTGCTGCTGCCCAGCTTCATGAGAGAGGATCATGTCACACAGTGATAGCTTGAGAAAAACCCAAATTCAAAATTTGAAGTATGGTTTCCATGCAGTGCATATTACTTTTGCATTACCATAAAACTACAAAGACTCCTAGACTGAACCATCATGAGTTGAAGGCTGTATGATGTTATCTTTAAGGAATACACTATCATGCAATGCTCTTCTTAAACTTGGGTGACAAGAGATAAAAAGAAAGTATCACTCTGTTTTGGAGTGCTATTACCTGTTAATTTAGTTTTTGGTAGTTGTCTGACACTGAGTTCAACTATATACGCCAATTTGCTTTGCAGTTATGAGGTCTCACAAAGTGATCATCTTTCACATAATAGTAATGATAAGAATAGAAAATATTTCCATACAGAAAAGAATGAAAACTTCATTTCCAGAAAAGCAGGTAATCATACACACATATAAACATATAATCAACAGCAAATTTTCTTGCTTAGGAAAATCTAAGTCATAACACAAGGTAGTTATTTAGATATTATTATTACAAAGACTTTAAATATACACACTTAGCTATGAAACAGCAGGCTGAGCCACAGAGACAAAATTTAAATTTAGTATCATAGTTTCCAAGAAGCACCATAAAAGTCAAACAGTTAGACATCTCTCTGTGAATTCTGTTGTTGTTGTTCAAGAAATGTTGCATGGAGAAATTCAACAGCCTCTTAGAAAAATAAGATATACTGGGTAGAGAGGAAGGGATGAAGTATCATTGCTATATTTTTATAATGTACTGGGGAAAAGATCAGAAATGATAGAGAAGACACAGTGGCACTGTATCTAAAGCAAATATCAGCACATCTGATATAAGAAAGACACTTTACAGTGTTTCTATTGATATGTTACAATTTTCAGGTTGTATGTCTAAAATGGGGAGTCTTATGATGTCACATCAAAAAAACAGAGAACTGACACAAAAAGCCAAATTTTATGATATAAAAGACAACAGTAACGGTCAACCTTGCACAGTTAAAGACCAGGGGGACAGGAGCCTGAAAGGAGCAGGACGCCGTCCACTGCAATTTCTCCAGTTTTGCCTTTGCCACGTTCTGCTTCAAAAATTATCTAACAATAGAGAAGGAATAATAAATTACTTCAAAATATGCAAAACAACAATCTAGCCAAACTATTTAACAGTTATTAATAAGCACTAAACCCAGGCATTATTATGGTTTAATCTAGATGCCCCCCAATCCTCATGTGCTCATAGGTGAGGCTTTTGGGATGGTAACTGAATCACAGGAGTGTGATACTTATCCCTGATGCATTTATAACTAAATGTGAGGTTGGGAGGTGAAGCCTGGTCCAGGAGCTGGGTCACCTGGAGGTGTGGCCTGGAGGGATTTAACTCCCTCCTTCCTTAATCGCTCTCTGCTTCGTGCTGCCACACCATGAGCAGTTTCTCCTCTGTGATGCCCCTCTGCCATGCCACCCTGCCTTGGAGCCAGCTGACTATGAACTGAAACCTCTACAAACTGAGCTAAATGAACTCCTTACAGTTGTGGGTGTTGGGTATTGTGTCTCAATGATGAGAGAGTAACTAAGACATGCATTATTATTGTATAGAAACTGGCTTTGGCATTCACTACATAGTAATCTTTTGACTATATAGGAATAGGGTTTTCAGACACTGGGTATCCACACTGAGAGCTCTGTTCGGAGAAAACAAAATTACAGCTAACTCTAGATTCTGAAAAGCCCTATAAAGCTAAGAAGGCTAAGACATAAAGGAAACTTTGGAACAAGAAAGCTTTAAAGAAAATAGATAAAAACAACAAAAATAGTTTTCCTTATAAAAACCAGGTTAAAAGAAATTGAATATTTCCATGAGCATCTAATGCAAAACAATATAGTCAAAAGGGAATTATTTTGATATTCAGATTTTGGTAGTTTATAGTAGTATAGTTTGCTTATATGTTTGGAAATTGTCTAGAATGTCATTTTTCATGTGTTAAAATGTTTCACAGTATGATGCTGTAACCATTTTAAGAAATCTATTAATAGTAAAAAGAAAAAGCAACTTTTTGTACTTTAGAAATTCCCAAAATCTATAGAACAGAGGATGAATACTAAAGAGAATTATCTTTGAATACAAAATGGTAGAGAACTCATTTAACAAAATTAAATATATAGCAACTATTTTATATTTACTGGCTTATCTAAAAATATTTTCAAGTAGCTATGATAAAATAAACATTTGATAAATGAATGTTTATATGTTGCTTCGATATTATAATGCTTTTAAAATAGTTGTCTTAGCTGGGCATGGTGGTGTACTCCTGTAGTCCCAGGACTTGGGAGGCTGAGGCAGGAGGATTGCCATGTGTTCAAGACCAGCCTGAACCGCACAGTGAGACCTTGTCTCAAAAAAGCAACAAAACAACAAAAAAAAACCTTTGTGTTACTTTTATAATAAGAACAAATACCAAAAATACTTTCCAAATTAAGTGATGATGAAAATAATAGCTACAATTTATGGGGCATCTATTCAGTATGATTCAGTATGAGTAGAGGCTTGACTCCCATACTTCTGATATATTTCCCAGAAATAAGAGAATAATGGGCCTATGTATTCTATAATTTCAGGATCAGAAATAAGCAGACTTAGAAGATAGAAAGATGATTTTGATTCAAAGATAATTAAGGTTTCCTTGAAACAAAAGCATTAGAGAAAAAAGAATACTTAATTTAGAACATGTTCTTCTTCTTCTTTTTTTTTTTTTTTTATCGGTACTGGGGATCGAACTCACAACCGCCTGCTTGCAAGGCAGGTGCTTATACCGCTGAGCTAAATCCCCACCTCCATGTTCTTCTTTAAAATCACACACACACACAGTCTGTCAAAATGGAGTTTGACAATAGCCCATGCTGATTATGGTTATAAATAGATAAACATGTATTCACATGAAACATAAAACACAAAATATGAAAACATTCGTTACTCTGCTGTAATTATAAATCTACTTTTTTCAAGAAAGAAATTGACCTTGTCTTTTAAAAATATTTAATAAATTTAAACTTATAGAAAATTGGCATTTTAAACTGGGCATGACACCACACACCTGTAATCCCAGCATTCTGGGAGGCTGAGGCAGGAAGGTTGCAAATTTGAGCCCTACCTGGGCATTTAGCAACCTAGGGAGATCTTGTTTCAAGAAATGGGGTTGGAAGGAGACCAAGGATATGGCTCAGTGCAAAGGCCCAGAGTTCAATCCCCCATACCATAAAAATAAACAAACAGAAAAACTACAAAGAAGCTAAGAAAACCTGCGTTTTAAAGAAAGATCCTTGAAGAATCATGCTCATAGTAGCACATGCTTATACTCTAGGAGGCTGAGGGAGGGGGATCACAAGTGTGAGCCCAGCCTGGGCAATTTAGTGACTTAGCAAAGATTTTGTCTCAAAATGACATATAAAAATGACTGGGGATTTAGCTCAGGGTGAAGACCCTGAGTTTAATCTTCAGTTGGAGAGGAGAAGAGAAGGCAAGGGAAGGGAGAGACAGAGACATAGAGACAAAGATATGGAGAGATGCAGAGATGGAGAGACAGAGACAGAGAGAGAAAGAATATGATGCTCAGTCACTATTATAGACTCCCTTCTTGCTTTGTAAGAAATTACAATTTTCAGTGTAATAGAGAAATTTAGGCTTGCTATCATTGCTGTATCCAACTTTTGAGGCTTTCTGAAGCGAATACAGAAAATCTCGGTGGGGGTGGGGTGGGAGTGACAAGAGCCTGTGACTATCATTGCTCAGATCTCTCTTTTGCTTTCAAGATGGTCACATTTTCTTGAGAACTGCTGGAAACAAGCTAATACTAAGAAGAGACAGCACGACTGGGTATAGAAGTCTTTTCTTTCTCTATTCTCTTCTCAGGAGGGAATGCCTTTCAGGAAGACATTCCCTTTGGATTATTTGATAGAGGAAAACTGAGCCAAAGAGCAGCTCCCTCACAGCAGCTGCAGTGAACAGGATGATGAGGGTGAGCATGTCTACATCTTGGGATATGGCGTCTTTTCTATCACCAGTATCCCCTGGAAAATTGAAAATAAACATCACAGTAATTATTTGGCATAGTAATTTCTGTGTGTTTCACTACATTTTCCTTACCCTGTCCCCCACAAAATGTAGGCAGCCTTTTAATATTCCCTTTTATCAGACTTGGGATATGACAATCAAAACATGCTTTGCTGGAAGACAGTGACTTTCTTGGTGTTTGCTCCTGGCACATTTAACTGTTTTGAGGAGACTATCCTAGTACAAGGTGGAGAGCTAATGAGAGAAGCACTGAGAGGAGAAGCTCACTTCTCCACAACTAGGAAGAACCACCACTGCCTTGCCTTGGCAGAGGCCTGAGTGGGCGATGGTTGCCTGATGCTACTATTTCAGCTGGATTTTCAGCAACAAGATTATGGCATTGAAGTTGAAGAGATGAATGGCTTCAAGGGTCACATGGGGGTATCCCTAGCCCCACAATGAAATGAAGATGTGCTGTCTTCTTCTGAATGTCTGTGCCACTCCAGTCTTTCAGAGGCAGGAGACACCTTACAGAGCAGCTCCTCTGCGAAGCCCATGTGAGCAAATAGTGGGGATTAAATCCCTCCTGACTAATAGGGGATTGAATTCCCTTCTGAATTCACATATAACTTCATTTCATGGAAGGATATAACTTATCTGTTACACTCAAGTGCATGCATTTAAAGTCACCAACCATGTGCTACAAATATCTATGGCAAATTTGACAATGGAAAACTGGAATACATGCTTTAGTCTGGATTATTCAGTGTGATCAACCTCCAATATCCCCCATCAAGGTTTCTCACAGTCTTGAAAAATTCAGGACATAGGTGCCAGCACTGTTGCCTTACAATGTGGTGGCTGGCCAGGCTCTTGGGGACCATGGCTTCAAAATGTGAATTTAGAATGGCACTGTACTGATAATGTACTTTCTCCCAAGCTACCAGAACGTGAACTTGATCAGCATGGAAATAATTGTGAACGTCACACTGAGACATATTTCAACTGTCCAATGGGAAATGTCATCCATACATAGCATGGCTTGGGGCTGCCATCCCCCAAGCATGCTGCAACCATGACAATGTAAGCATGTGGCTTGAATTTATACTGATGTAAATGCACCGCAATGAGAATACATTTGAATTACTGCATGCGTCAGTCCTGAAAATGAACTAACCACTTTTACTGCAAAGGGAAAGAGTGGTTATGAAATTCATTAACTAGGGCCCAATATACAGTTTTATTTATAGTCATGTCTTATGAGGAAATTAAAATAAGACATTCTGCTTTAATTAAAGTGTGGTAAGTAAATGAAAAGATGTTAAACTTAACACCTGACACAAGGGACTAACTAGACTTTCTGTCTGGTTCCTATTGCCAAGAAATGGGATTGTACTCACATTAATCATCATCTTTCACAAGCAAAGTATAAATGGATTCCGATTCACGGATCTCCCAATTGTGCTCCCTCTGATCCCTTCTTCCTGTATTTCCCTTTAAGTTTTTTCTTTCACACACTGACCCAACTTTTCACCAGGGTGCACCTTGGCTGTATCCAGCCTCTGGTCCCTGTGATTTTTTTTTTGAGTTTTAAACATCAAATTTATTTGTAGAAAAACAAAACAAAACAAAACAAACCCACAGGATGGGAATTTACATCTCAAGACATCTCCCAGGTAGTAAGTCTACAGGTTACAAATCATTTTCATAGAAGATATTTTTGTACAAATTTTACATGTATCCAGGAGACCTAAACCAGTCCCTGTTTCTATTTAGTGGAGGCAAGGAAGGGGAGTGGGACAAAATAGCTTTTTTGTATACAACTATTCAGAAGAGCAGACGTAAAGAGAGTAAACTACCTTTTCATTATCTACAACCAACGGTTTTAGAAGAAAACCCGTTCAACTTTGGGTATGTCTAAAAGCTTGCGTCCTAATTACTTACCAACCCCACCAATTAATGGTAATTTACTAGGTATACCTTTAGTCCACTTGGTAAATGGCTCATTATGCCCACTGCCGCAGCTCACAGGCACAGGGCACACACCCTCTGCAGGGCCAGAAAGGCTACCCTAGGACCAATGGGAGAAAGGCTTGCAAATAAAGAGACCAAGCATCATCTGTCAGCAGCACCAGTACTGCCCAGTGAGAAGAAATCTTATTTACCAAGCTGACCCCCCACTAAAGCTATTGTGTTCCAAGAGAAAACAGGACCTTGTGAAATATTTACCATTTATTCTCTCAAGCTAAAAACCACATCCCCTCCCACAAGCAGAAAGCCACACACTGACCTAGGCCATATAATAACCCAAGCATTGGTGTGGGACTTCAGTGAAAAGTTATGAAAACAAACTAAACCCCCAGCTCCCCCAATTGAGGTTGTAAGAAAAGCTTCCATGTAACTGTCCCTATTTCTCTACTTATTCATCACCAAAGATCAACCTAGAGCATTCTGGTCTATAAAAAGGGTCAGAGCAGGAGGGAAGGAATGAATTAAAACACATCAAAGAACTGATTTTTTTTTTTTTTGAGAAAAGCAGTGATTCTTCATGTCACAGCATCCAGTGGCTGAGATAAAAAATGCCTAAGAGGCCGCATCTTTAGATCTAGAGACTAGTTTTAGGGAGGTTAGAGCAGCATGAAGAACATGAGATTGTTAGGAGTCTGAAAAAAAATTTTTTTTGTTTTGTTTTTTGAGCCAGTCTCATTATTATATAGTCCAGACTGGCCTTGAACTCACTTTGTAGCCCTCACTAGCCTCAAACTTGCAGCAATCTGCCTGTCTCAGCCTCCCAAGTGCTGGAATGACAGGTGTAGGCCACCATGCTGGGCCCTAAGAGTCTGGATGTGTTAAAGCTTCAAGGTTTCCAAAGAATGTAAATGTATTTAAACTTTCAGAAATGGTAAGAGAAAGGGCACAACCAAGACACAAGAATGGGAATTCCCATGACCCCTAAGTGCTTCCTGCTCTAGGAAATAACCATTCATGTGTTTATCAGGTCACACCACTTCCCCCTACTACCTGGTGCAAAATAATCCATCACCTCCCTAAATCTCTCCTCCAAGCACAACTTCCCCATTATTTTGGTCCCCAAGCAATTGTATTCTTCAGTGGCCTGTAGACACACTCTCATCTACCCCCCTAGGGGGTAAACACTAAAGGCATTTCCCCTAGGCTGGCTCCATCAACTCAGAATAAAAATAAGAGGAAGGGTTGGCAGCCTCCTGGAGACAAACAATTTGAAAGAGAAAATGTACCTTTCCAAGGATGGAAAATTTATTCAGATAATGCTTGAGAATTCATATAAGCCACAACAAGAATGAAAAGGTAGAAACCTCACTGTTCCTTATCCCTCCCCTACTGCTCAACCACTCCAGATATCATATCACTGTCATTACCATTTTTGCTAAATGGAGGCCCCTAGGCACTAATCACACAGGCAATTGCATGGTATCCTAAGAACACAACACAACTTTTCCATTAAAAAGCTGTAGTCTCTGTTTCTGACTATAATGGTGATTCTCCGGTTACTTCAATACTTTAAAAGGCTGCAGCAGCATGCAAAAGAATTTCATTTTAAAAAAAATTTAAGAAAAGTCTCCAGGAGATGGTGAGCTTTATTTTGCCTTGACTGGATAGAAGTTTGATTGGTCTTGAATTCCAGGCTGGAGAAAGACTAGGAGAAAGCACAGGATGTAGAGGTCTAGTCAGTGTAGTCTTCTCCTTCATTATCATCTTCACCATCCATGCCGAGAGCAGCATACTTGCTTGCAGAACTGAACTTGGAGGCTGGATTTTCCTCAAGTTTCTTTGGCTCAGGTGAAGATCTAGAGTCTTGATCCTTTTTGCCATCTTTCCTATCTGACTCCTTCCAAAGGTCTTTGTTCCCTCCATCTCCTGGACCACGGATGGAGTTCCCAGTTTGGCCTTTTTGGGTACTCATTCCATTATTTTCATCTTTCCTTGATGGTCCCTCCTCAGAAGGCTGAGCTGGAGCTAGTTTCCCCCCACCACTTGTAGGAGATTGGTGCTCTGTGTCTGAGCTCTGAGATCGAGCAGGAGCGTTAGAACTTCGCTTCACCCATGCATTCTCCTTCGGTGGAGGGGCTGGCATTACTTTTAGAGGCTGATCAGGTTTGGGAGGCTTACAAGTTGGAGAGTGACAGTCTTCCTCCTTACTGAGTGTTTCATTTTCTAGAGACTTCTCACTCTCTCTTCTTCGGGCATCCTGGTCTAACTTACTTCTGCCAGATGGGGCTGAGGTTCCAGTCTGTGATGATTCGCTTCCTGTCCTTGATCTTTCCTGTTCCTGAGTTTCTTCACTTCGCCAGCTTGGCTGTCTTTCCCAAGGCCGTCGTTCTAGTTTCGGCTCATCCAGCTGCCGTTGCAGCTTCTCCTGCTCTTTCTGTAGCCGTTCTTCCACTTCTCTTTCTCTGGCAGCCGTGTCAACAGGCTTTGCCCCTCCAAAGATAGAAGCTGCTCGACTGGACTGGGAGGTACTAGCAGAAGAATCATCTTCCTTAGGAGTACTCCGAGGCTTTAGGTTCAGTTTGGGTCTTTGGGGGGGACCTCTGTCATCACGTCTATAATCGTCCCGTGAGTAATCATCTCTGGAGCCCCAAGGTCGATCATCTCGTCTGTCATACCGGTCTTCATATCGGGCTCCTCCTCCTCTGTAATGATCATATCTACGGTACCCACTACCAAAGGCTCTTCTGCCACTGCCTATTCTGGAATCATAGCCTCTATCATAGTCTCTGCTGCCTCGGTCATCATATCGAACTCGGCCTTTATATCGATCCATACCCCGGCGTGGGCCATCCCGATAGCCATCTCTATCCCGATACCCATCACGGTACCGGTCTGGATCATAACGATCTCGATACTTGTCGCCAAAGCTATCATCACCTCTTCTTGGTGGATAGTCATCAAAGCTGTCTGTGGCAGGACGTGCCCTCCAGTCTGTGTCTGTTTTGTCAGAATGTCGATTTCTATCTCGCCAGAAAGAACGATCATCCCGGCCTTTATCCTGTGCTTGATCAGCAACATCCACTCGAATTCTCCTGTTACCTAGAGACTCTTCATTGAGACTCAGGGCACTGAGCAGGGAATCCAGGTCCTCAAACTCAGCATAACCAAAACCTTTCAACCTGTCTGGATTGCTGGGTTCACGTGGCAAACGCACTGCACGGATATTTAAGCCTCTAAAGAATTCCTTAATAGAGTCTTCTGTCACTTCATAGGGCAAGTTTCCTAGAAAAGCAGTGTAGGGTGGCGATTTGGGAAGACGGCTCCGGTCGATATTGGGTTCCCGAGCAGCTCGTGGAGCAGTGGGAAGGATGGAACGGTCAATTGGAGGTGCCCTATACACATCATCATCGTTACTGTGCCAAGGGGTTGAAACATCTCCTTCCAGGTCATCTGTTTCATCAGCCCAGCTGACTGGTTTGGGAACATAGGTGGTTCCTCCACCAGTCCCTCTATCCTCAGCCAGAAAGTCGGTTAGGGGGATAGTCTTCCCCTTCTTCTTCTTCTTTTTTGCTGAGGCCGCCATGTTGGGAGAGGGAGAGAGAACCCAAAGGACCCGGATGAGGCAATCACGTGATGATAGCGGGTGCGTCGTGGTAGGAGAATCTACAGTGAGAGGGGGCGGGGATGTGAGGACGCAGACAGGAGGCGGGGAGCCACAGTCTAGGTTTGTAAAGCGGCGCGAGGAGGTGGTGCCGGTCCCTGTGATTTTGACCCTTCCTTCTAAAGAAATAATTCCTGCGAAGGTCACCAGCCACATGTTGATAGTCAAACTCAACAAACAATTTCTTTTTATTTAATTTGTTCTTTCTCAGTGTTTCCATAAACCAACTTCTTTATGACTGTTTTATAGGCCTACCTCTGCAGTGAAGGATTAATTCAGCAGATCTGAGTTGTCTAAAACCTGTACATTCTAAAGAAAGTTGGGCCTGTGACTGGCTCCTGGAAGATAACATTTAACGTTGGAATATCACATCTGACAGATTACGATATTATTTACCTGAGACCTAGGGTCAAGCCAGATAGTTTATTCTAGCAATGCAATTTATGAAGACGATTTTTTTTGGGTCTTTTTTGATTTTATCGGTACCAGGGATCGAACTCACGACTGCCTGCTTGCAAGACAGGTGCTTATGCCGCTGAGCTAAATCCCCAGCCCCACAATGCAATTTATGGTGGGAGACTTGGATTACATGGTATCAAGCTGACCTCTGAAGAGTCTGGAGACCGACTAACTAGTCATCCACATCAGCAGATGCGGGGGCAGACCGACTGACTTCTTAACAAAAACTTTGAATACCAAGGCTTGGGTGAGTGTCCCTGGTGGGAATACTTGCTGAGTGTTGTCATGCATGGCTTCTGGCAGAACTAAGAGTTCCCATATGACTCTCCTGGGGGTGGAAAATTATAAGCTTGTGCCTGGTTCCTCTTGGATTCTGCACTATGTGCTTCTATCCTTTGCTTATTTTAATCTCTGTAAATTGGTATCATGAATAACAGCTTTTAGAGTTCTATGCAAACTTCTGGTGAATCACTGGATGTGAGTGTGATCTCGGAGACACCCCTTCTCCCCACCAGCAACAGGTACTTTCCCAGTTCAGTTAAAAAATAACATTTAAAAAATCATCCTCAGGCTACCATTTGTTACACCACACTCTGTGCACAGAATAAATGAACAAAACATTTTTTGTTTTTACCTCTTAAAGAATGTCCCAACTGGTATGGGAGGAAGCTGGCAAGAGGAGCCAGGCACAAAAACACAGGTCTTTTCCATGGAACATGATATGCATGCATCTGACAAGTATTGGCATTAGTTGTATTGATTAACCTCTTTGCCTATTTTACTCCGCAATGGAAGGTCTTTAATTATAGGAGGAATGTATTCATCTTTATGTCTCCAGTGCCTAGGTACTTCAGTGTTTTGTTTTGTTCATTAAGCCACTGAAAAAAATGTACGTATCTACTTTAACCATTTTTTCCACTTACACTTTTGGTAGCATCAATCCCTTGATGCAACTGAATTTTTCCTGTCTTCCACTTTTCATCCTCACTCTTGGTCTCTTCCCATGCCAGTGCATTGTTACTGTTTTTTACAAACACGCGAAGTTTCCCTACTTTGTCTCCTGCCAACCGGTAATCGAAGAGCAAGCAGAAGTTGCTTTGGGGCTGCAGGTTTGGGAGGAGAAGTTTCAATCGTCCGATGTCCTTCCTGTGCCCAGCCAAGGCCGGAACTGTCATGTAATAGCCAACAGCTTAAGAGAAGAAAAAAATGCAATTAATAAGGCCACTATAAAGGGTTTGGCTTTTCTATATGAAATAGGTATAAAAATAAACAATAGTGTCCCATAGGGAAAGCTGAAGATCTTTACATTTTGAACACAGGGAAAAAATATTCATTCTAAAATGGATTTTAGGGATTACACAGTTGAAATCCTTTGTCATTTAGAAAGGGAAATTGAAGGTCAGAGAAATGGGGGAATTTGTCCACAATCACAAAGCTTGGAGTAGCAGATATGGGGTAAGAATCTAATTAAATAGGCCTTTATCACTGCAGGTAATTTGCAGCTAATAAGGACCTTATGTTCCAGAACTTTATTTCCACCTTGATTGTTGGACTCTTGAAATGCAGTACCCCACTGAGCCAGTGATCTGCCCAGTGGCCAGCTTCTTAGGTGGGCCCATAAACTGGTGTTTAATCTACAACACACCTGGATTTATCCTGATGGTTTCATGTACCTCAATTACCATGTTCAAAGTGTCGCTCTGAGATCTGACTTAGAATGCCTGAAAATCTTCTAAGACTATTTTAACCTACGGGAGTAGACTTCTGTTTATCTCCAATCTTCTGATTGTGGTTTTGATGAACCTGAGCAACAACTCCTGCAGACTGGGGTCTGAGGAAGTGGAGAAGAAGGTGGAATTCCTATAAAAACTTAGGAGGATGACATTGAGGTTGGGCTGGAATCTTTTAGTGCAGTTCCCACAGACACTTGCAGAACCTAATGCCTTAGTTTTCACTGGACTCAAACACTGTCAGGTCTTTTCCAGCTAGTAGAGCCATTAGATTCAGCAAGTTGAAATACAGCATGCCCAGTGGGGCTTAAATTTCAGATGAACAATATGTTTAAGACATACTAAAAAGTAGTCATTGCTTCTCTGAAACTTAGACCTCCTATACAGAAACTGTATCAGCCACACTCTTCTGTGAATCACTCTTCCAGCTAAATCTCACTTTGAGCTGTCTAAGGTTTATCCCTTTAATAATACTGATTGATCTCGTTTCTTTCCCATATTTAACTCTGTAGAGAAAGAAAGACTTACCTAGAGAGGAGGTGCAGGAAGGGAGAGTGTATGACTTGAGTGATGGAGAAGCTGAAAACTCCAGGATTATTGTGGATTGGGTGCTTGTAAATAGGAGACTTCCCACTGATGGGACACTCAATGTAACACATTGCTGCCTGTGTGAGCTGTCAAGATCTCAAGATAACATGTGGCCTCCCAGTGTGATACAGCTCTTTTAGACATAAATTTAGAGAAGCTTCAGGAAGAAAAAAGGAACTCAGCTTAGTTATCAACAAGGTAGCTTCTCAAAGATGTGTTGTGTCCAACTGGTTAAATGTGCCCTGTGTTCATCCTGAATCTTCAGTTATAGTTCTATTTGCACAACTGCCAGTGGGATAATGCATCCCTTCTACCCTAGGCCCACACTTTAAAGAATTTCTTTGGAGATATTCAAGTTTTCTAGTTGTATGTAAAGGCTTCAAAGGAAAGACTCAGAGAAAAATTAATTCCAAGGAAGGATGTAGAAGAATCTTTTAGCTGAAGGCCGATCCTATATATCTCCAAAGTTGATTGGTAAAGAATTGAAGTCCCTGAGATGTAACAGTTGACCTTAGTTGTATAGTCAGCTTTAGGAGAGAGGAATTTGATAAGTGCTCCTAATGGCTCTGCAAGAAGGACACTCTACCTGAGAGGAAAGCTTGAACTCATCAACAGTGGTGAAGAAGGCAGCAGAAAGGCAGTAAGTAAGCACATGGCTCAGAGCTGTGTTTGAGGAAACTCTAAGATCAGGGGCCCAGAAAGAGATCTTTCAGCAACTGAAGAGAAAGTTCGGTCCAGGAGTTCAAGCTGCTGACTTGACACTCAATGTAGCGACACCCTCAAGTCAATTTGAGGCCAAAGGGAGGGGGGACTCTAGTAAAACTCTCAGTTTAGAAAGATGTCATGTTTCAAGATTTACTTTCTCTGGAAGAACAAAATGAAAACTATAGAGCACCACTGCTTGGTAAACTGGGCCAAAAGAACAGCTTCCTCCTGCCAGCACTCCTAAGCTTCACATGACTCCATGCATCTTTCTCTCTCAGAAACAGGAAGATACATATAGAAGAGGTTTGCTGCCACATCATTTGTGGGGGCAGGTAGGTGAGAGGAGATTAAAGAGGGAATATATGCTGGACTGAGTTTGCTATCCATCAGGGAGAACTTGAAGGTCTACAGTTTTTAAAAAATGACAAACAACATTGACCTGAGGAGTGACAGGAATAATAACCCTCCGTCACTGAGAAGCCTTCTTTCCCTTTGTCACAGTATAGAATATGAAATAGTGAAACCTAAATACCATTATCTCGATCAGCAGGATTCCAGTCAAAATCATCTTCTCTGTCTTGTTTCCAGTCACACACTCCGTTATCAAAGCTGCAGTCAGCAGAGATATTTAAACCTGCTTTAAAAAGAGCATATTTCATAACCATGAAGAGCAGTAGAAATATAACTAAAATTTGGAGCTTTGGAGGGAAATGTTATATTTTTAGATGTGTAGAGTATAGATCAGTGGTGGTGAACCTGTGGCACGCATGCCACAGTGGGCTGTTTGTGTCATTGAAAGGTCTAAGGGGTTCATTATCACTGGTAGAGATTAATGCAGCTGAAATGCCCTTAGGAAAAATGCCACACTAGATAACCTGTTTTGAGTTAAATCTTTGAGGTCATTCTCAACAAATTATGTTTTAATCTTATGAAACAAAAATGAAAACAAAAAAATCTGTGCTTTTTAAAAGACTAAGTAAAGAGCAAGACCTCCTTGAGCAAAGCAAAACAAGCAATATAACCAATTGATCATAAAATTTAGCCAGGAATATAAATTCTCCTTTACATAAATAAACAAGTAAAGACCTTGCCAGAACTTTCTAGATGATTTATCATATACGACGTTTCACGTAGTACATGACACATGAGTTATCAACATTCTTGTAGTACATCATGTTTTTTGTTTGCTGGATCATATGATGTTTTGACATTTGGGGGATTTTACAGACTTCTCCATCAGGGCCAGCTAAATTGAGAACATGTCTCCTCGTAAAGAAACCATGGTCTTTATCTAATTCGCATGTACTGTTATGGTTTGGATCTGAAATGACTTCCAAAGGCCACATGGTATAGGATTGTTTACCACCCTGGTGCCTATTGGGAGGTGGGGCTTATTGGGAAGAGGTGAGTCACCAGGATGGGTTATGGTGGGGCGGGATGGGGCATTCCTTTGAAGGGAATATTGGGACCTGGGCTCCTGTCCTCCCTTTCAGCTTCCTGGCCATTGTAAGGTGAGCAGCTTTGCTCTACCATCCACTCCTCACCAATATGTTCTGCCTCACCACAGGCTCAAAGTGATGAGGGCCAAGTAACCATGGACTGAAACTTCTGAAACTGTGAGCACAATAAATCTTTCCTGCATGCAAGCCGATGGCCTCAGGTATTTTGTCACAGTGACAGAAAACTGTCAAACACACACACACACACACACACACACACACACACACACACACACAGAGTCAGTATTTCCCCTGCCCTAAATCATCTCAGTGCTAGGTATCAGGCAGGTTAGGGGCAGAGTCTGTTCCCCAAGGCCTTCTGCAGTTATCCAGACCCCTGGCCATAACCTGATGCTTCTTCTCCTGGGACCCTGTGTGGCATATTGTGCACCCTTCTCTTAGGAAATGTGATTAATAAATCCCTCTTTCAATGCCTTTGGCCTCTCCATGTCGCTTAGTCACTTTCAACAATTAAAACAAATGATGTACTAAATGACAAAACCTTTTTCTTTCTTTACTTCAGAATCCCAACATTCCAGTTAGAAATTTGCCATCAGCATGTTGGATCAACTGAGTGGACATGCTGCCAGTCTCTACATTGCTTATGGGTTCTTTATGGCAGAATGACTACTTTGTTGAGATGTAGTGGAGAAATATCTTTGCAGAGTCAGTTAGTGTAGGTTTGAGGCTAGCTGTTCTGGTTACTTTTATGTAGATCAGAGGCTGACAAACTGACAACCTGGCCTATTGCCCATTTTTCTAAGGTTTCATCAAAGCACACCTGCTCATTCATCTCCATACTGTCCATGGCTGCCTTTGTGCTCTAAGGACAGAGCTGAGCAGGTGCTGTCAACACCATGGGGCTCACAGAGCATAAAATATTTACTACCTGGCTCTTCCCAGAGAAGCATTTGCTAACTCCTGATGTAGATATCAAAAAATAGCACCGTGAAAAAGGAAGATTGAGAAACTTATCAAAAATGAATTTTGTGACTTTTAGCTATTTATGCTGAGGAATAAAGGAAGGGGGAAAATTCAAAAGCAGCTGATTTTGATCATTTCTATTTGCCAAATATTTCAGAAATATTATGTTATTTGATTTGATTTTTCAAAAATGTTTATCATCAAACCCAATTTCAGGAAAGTAAAACTGAGGTTCAGAAGTGACTTGTCCACATTTTGCAGATGTTTAGTGCTGAGATTGAACCTGAGTCTCCAGTTAGACTGGAATCGAGGGCTGTCTGTTCTGTATACACCTTAACAAGCACAACCTACTCCTTTTCTTATTTCTCTTTCTCCTTCACTCCCCATTTTTACCTCTGTTATCAAAGATAATTTTAGTTCCAATTTTCACATGAAAAAATGACAATTCTTGCTTTCAGTCATCAATATTTTTTATGAGTGCTTTCGTAGTTTGAGGTATTGGTGTTGCCATCCCAAAATCAATGGAACATCACTTTTTCAGTTGGTTTATGTGGTGGCACATTTATCCCAAACTCCCTCCTCCTGCTCTTCAGTGCACAATTAATGGGGCATGTAAAGTGAGATAATGGGGTATTACATAGCTAACCTATCCATAAAGAGGTAAAACTCAAGACTTTGGTCTCTTGAGCATATTTGCTCATTAGCATAACAATGATCTGCAAAATGCTTTCAAATCCTTTCTCTGGTTTAACCCATGCCAGCCTTAAAGTAGATGCTGTTGGTGCCACGCCAACATCTGTCAGTACTTAGGTTCCCTGGTAGGCATGTGGCTCTTTAGTGCAATTACAGCTCTGGGTGTGCGGGTGTTGTGGGGCTGGAGCATTCTCGGCCCAAGCCAGGTGTGCTAGAATGCTGGTGATTTCTTTCCCTGGGGACAGCCCTCAAGCAGAGATGGACAGAAAATGCTAGACAGATACTTCTGTTTCCTTGCCTTTGGGTGGGACCAGTAAGTGCTGGGGTTGGATGTGAACTGGAGTCCCACTGGAATCCAGGAGCTCTCCTGCCTTGCAGAAGAGCTAAGTGGGATGCAGGTCCACTTCCCACAGTGATGCCCTTCCCTGCTTTCACAGGAGGCAATGTGTGCCGGAGACTTAGCAGCACTCCCTCAGAGCGGCCTTCAGTCAAGCTCATACAGGACTTGGTGCATGTACTCTAGGTCCCTAAGGCCTCCTGTAGGATCATTCTGAGCTTTGTGGGCTACACTGTCTCACAGACTTCCCCAATGGGACTGAGCTCTGGGTCTCTACCGTGGAAATATGCCTGGTAACATACCCTTTTGTTGACTCCTTCTCTCCCCATTTCACTTCTCTGTACCCATCCATTGTTTCCAGAGTCATTACCTCCATAAGCCACTGGCACCCAAGTTCTTGTCTCGGGTCTATTTCCAAGAAAACCAGTCTAAGCACCTAAGAGAGGAGTGTTGCTCTCATGAGTGAAAGCAATAGAGTAAGTATGTCTAAGTGACTTGCTCAAGGCAAAGAGCAAGCAAGAGAGTCTGAGTGCACACTAGAGCCTTCTGACTGGGACTGAACCTCCCCACACACACTCCTTACTCAAGGACTGCTGAGATCACGAGGCTGTGGCCAAGGGCAGCGTTTTCCACTTTCTGTGCTCCATTAAGAATCATGGAATAAAAAGTAAAGTAAAAAGCACAATCAGTCTGGGGATTCCAAGGGGCCCAAATAGTTCCTTACATACACTTAGTGAGTTGATGTTCTATCCACATAGAATGCTTGCCTCAACTTGGGAGCAACAGAGAGAAGAAAACATTACAGCATTGTAATTACTGGTACTAATCACGCAAAGGCCTATTATTTTAATCCTGGTACTGTGCATCATGAGGCAATGACTTTTTCCTTGGGCTTTTATGTATGCAGCAGTAATTCAAAAACAACCACCTCATCCTAGGAAGAAATGAAAACGACATGGGGCAGTGAGTGCGAGAAAGCTTTATTTACCTTTGTATTCCAGTCTGGAACTCAGCGTTTTTCTTGGGACCAGATCCAGACCCAAATTACCTGCTTCATTCACCTTAGGAGCTGATAAAGAACACTTGATCAGTTAAGAAAAACTTATACCCCTATATGCTGTGAAGGAATAAATCCAATGCCTGAGAAAGCAGGCCTTATCATGGATTGCAATCACAGCGAGTATTCTAGCAGTGTCCCCCTGCCATTTCCAAGTCATTCACATTGGTGCCAGCGTACCAGTTTAGAACATCTTTTTCTAGAGGTTCTCTTAGTGAGCTAATTGTTTACACACATCCCTTCTCACCAGTTTCCAGAGCTGTACTTCCTGCAGACTTTCAAGGGAGCTAACATCACTGGTATGCTATTACTTGTACTGGTGAGCCTGTGTCTACTTGTCCTTTGGTTTATTCCAACTGACATTTGTACATATGGTCACCAGTCACTGAGCCAAGAACAGACGTGGCAAAATATTAGAGGGAGCAACAGGAGATGGCAACGGAGTCTTCAAGTTGAGATCCAGGTTGAGTCAACATGGAAACTTCCTGAAGGGGCTAAGACTTATGGTGGATTCTGCACAGCAACCAATGAAAAGAGGAAATTGGTGCTTACCTAGTTCATGCAGAGAATTTAAACTCTGCCTTAGCACTTTTCCCCTTCTGGTTTTCTTTTTTGACTTTTAAAGGCATAACCGCACAACTGTGCCATTTTCATAGAGCTGGGCTGTGACAACTGACTTTGAGAAGTGAAAAGGTGGAGCCTGGTAGATCCACACAGTGACAGTCTCTCTGATGCGGGGTGCCTGACAGCCAGACAGCTGTGCTTTCAGGACCAGCAAGCTTCCCATGCTGTCAGAGGAATGGGGGAGCTACACCAAACAAACGCGAAGCACCCAGGTGAGGGAACAGGATTTGGCCTGCTTGTTTCCCAGAGCAGCAGGTTGGGTTTGGCACCTGCAGAAGGTATTCATCTCTAGGCCTCGCACTGAGAGATGCCTGCTTCTTAGTGTGTAAGCCCCAACCCATTTTACTTAAAGTGTGAAACTATCTAGTTTTCCACTTGTCAGGAGGAAGCACAATTCATCCTTCATGAAATGTATAAAATAACAAATGTGATACTCACAAAACACATCTCCTCGGAGGCTTCGCTCCTGCTCCACGTCATTCTTCAGGGCCTTCTCTTCACTTTTCTCTTCCTTGAGTCCCTCTTTGAGTTTTTCTCTATTCCCTTTCTTGTCTCCAGGGGAGTTCCCACCCCTGTGAAGACTCTCTTCATAATTGATGGGCTCTGAGGTAGCCTTAGGGGCGCGAGTCCCAGTGGGTCTTGGGGTGACATTTTTCATTTTTATCTTCTTTTTCATGCTGTTTTTGTGAGCAAGCAACTTCTTAATCCTGTCTTTGATGGTCCCAGGCACTCTGGAGACTTCCCTTACAGAATTTTCAGGGATAACTGAAACAAAAAGTAAATAATTGAGAAGTACCAGTAATTAGTGGCTGACAAATAGGTCACTATTAAACAGCAGAACACATTGGAAGCGCTGTAAGTTCGTGCTTCCAGAATCAACCCATACGAGGCTCCACCATGTGAGATTTTTAGGAAGCTATATTTGCATCTGTTTTGAGCAGCTCTAATGTTATGGTGGTTACCTTCACTACTTTTTGTTAAACACTTCCATGTTGCTTCAGAAACTAGTAAAATACCTGCTGCTACTCAATTGCACTACAGATCTCAAAGCAATGGAGTTTTTCCAAGGCCCTCTAATATTTCTGCTTTCATGTTGGCACCAGCCTGATATTGTCTAAGGAACTCCAGGAGTTTGTTCAAATTTGATATTCAAACAATATAGCCAGGCAGCATTAAGTTGAACCATATAAATTGTCGGTAATGTGCTGTTTGTGACCTACGAACATGGTGGCTTCCGGTTCACTGTACACAAACTTGATATCCTTTCCTCCCACTTTCTCCTCTTTAAGTGCTTAAAACTCAATCAACCACTATTTAAACCTAAATGATTTCATTTATTGAATTTTTATAGAACCTTTTATATATACTATTTTATATCCACTTCCTACTTGTGGCCATGAAATTAAGTTGCTTTTAAAATCATACATCTAGATTGACAGGAGTCAGGGACTCCTAGCCTGTAGTGAGTCAGGGACTCTGGGGAGGGGGTAATGTTAGTGTAGAAGAACTGAAAAGGTAGAACAAGGTCATTAATCTCAATATTCTTGTTTTGTAGCTGGGGCAACTACGTAATGGTAAGTGACTTGCCCAAAGTCACTCAGCAGCTGGGAGTAGAGCTAGGACTGAGAGTCAAGCATATGAATGGCTCTTTTCCTGATTCTCCTGTATTCTTGCTTTCAGGGTTACTTTTCCCTATATTGGTTCTCTATCCATAGGCCTCAAGGTCTATGATTCAAAGATACATGTCCTTCTTCTAGGCATATACATAATAATTAAGAATATCTAATAGGTGTGGAAAAGTAACAGTTTAAAAAATTAAAAACATTGATCTTTAAAAACCTAATAAATTTTCCTGTTATAACACCTATAGGTATGAGCTGGTCTAACGCTAAGCAGAGGGTTTGTAAACACTTGGGTCAATGCACTCAAATCTCCTGCTTGGATATAGGTTAGACTTTAGAGGAAATTGAGAGAAGGAAGAAGACATCATTTCTGATGCTTAAAGTAATACTATAAAAATTGTGTTGGGATTTTATTAGGATTTTTTTCTTGGCAATGCTTTACTCTCTTCTCCTGCTTTGTTCCTTCTTTGTCATTTGCCTCACTCAATCTGTATCAAAGTAGTAGAAACATAAACAAAGAAACATTAACAATATTTTGAATAATCAAAAGAAAATGCTTTGAAAATAAATATGCTCTTAATTAGTACATTCCTTTGACATCGATCTAAGGGTCAGTAGGACAAAAGTGCAACTTTTTTATTTTCAGTGAAATGTCCTGGTTATTTATCACTGTGACAACCTGTACTTATAAGTTGAAATCAAGCAGTACTCACAGGAGTAATGCATCATTACTCACGTTCCTGACCTTCATGGGGTCTCTTGAGCTCCTTTGCCACAGGTTGCACGTTCAGCTTTGATTATAATGTGCTGGTCACACATCGACCTTTCTCTGGAGGCCCCACTGTGTAATTCTGTCTAAGGTCCTCTGAATCATATCCCAGTACTCAGCATGAAAAATTAACAGGAAACACTCATTCCCTGCAAATTAGCTTTGTGCAATCACTAACATAAAACCTTTAATAAATAATGAGGAGAGGATTTGAGCTTACAACAGGCAATCCTAAACATCTGCTTTTAGTTTTTCACTTTGAAGTTTCAAATTTTCATATCAAAAAAAGAAACAAACCCATCAAAGCACCATAACCTTTGTATCAACAATTTCATTCCCTTCATATGCAAAGAGAAAGCCAAAGCTGAACAAAAATAAAACTGCAGTCTATTGATATACATAACTGGATTCAGTTTTATCACTTGATATGTATGACTGATGAGTTTTCGAAATTCTTAATTATTGCATCATTTCTTTGGGAATATGAACATACGGGAGGAAGTTACAGTAGAAAATCTTTGGTATGTTTGAGAACTCAGACACACAAACAAGGAGTGCCAAAGTCTTCAGGTCATGGGCCAGTTTTGAAGTTTATATTTTGGGGGAGGGAATAGAGATTTTTGTAAATACCTGCTATGTCTACAACATTTACCTATCCGAAAATCTTGATTTTAATTTCACATCTTTGGGGTAAGGCTTTATTAATGGAGATCACTGTTAAGTGAGATTTTCCTACCTAGGAGGAATATGACTTTGACCTTCGTTCACTTGTTGTTAGACCACTATCATCTGCTAAGAAAAACGTTCCCAAGATCTGAGGTGAGGTCTCGCTCCTGGGAGGTCAGGCTTAACCATGGTGGAGGATCTATTGAATTGTGGGACCCAGGGAGCTAGAGTTGACCCCTTTAGATGAACATGTCTTCATTCTGTACGGATCATTTCATTTAATCATCAAAATAATATTCCTATTTTGCAGACAAAGAAACTGAGGCACTGAAAGGATAAATCATTTATATTCAGTCCACAGGCGGGAAGCCAGGGGATCTGGGAGTCAAGCTAAAGTAATCTGATCCCAAAAGCTGTGCTCCTGGTAGCTCAGTGACACAGTTTCATTTTCTAAATTGAGTGTTACTCCCCTAATTGGGTTTTATCTAAGTTTTTAATTTCTTGGGATGAAATATAGCTGCTGTCAAACCAAGACCAAACTGTCTAGTGGTGTATTACTAAGACTCGTGTATCCTAGAAGAGTTAAAAATAGACATACTTACAGGGAAGGTGCCTTTTCCCTTGGGTACAGGTGGTGTAGTAATATTACTACAGTGCAGAGTCCGGATTCTCAAAACAACAAGCTCATGAGAAAAGCCACATAGCAGGGGTAGGGTGTAGCTCAGTGGCAGAGTGTTTCTCTAGCGCGTGCAAGGCCCTGGGTGTTATCCCCAGCATCATCCAAAAAAATTGTGCCATCAATGCTTTATATCGTATAATAGCAATTCATGGGCAGATGAATCTATTTCAACATGCTTTATGATGCTGAATGTTAATTGAAAGCAATTCTCTTATTTTTGTTTTTATAACTTGTTTTTACAAACATAAGAGCAGACTTTTTAGTGTCCTTTAAGTAATAGGTTTGTTAAAATTGATTTTCAGCAGAAATATGGTCATTTATTTCACAGAGAATGAAAGCAAAAAGGAAAAGGGCTGGACAACAAGTGAAAGACTCAAAGATAGTTTTTTCCTTTAAATAAACATTCTAGTGAAAGACTAAAGAAATACTTCAGCTGCAGAATGGATAAATAACAAAATGCTGTTTGCACATGTCAAAAAGAACAGTAAATTTGAGGTTTCAAGGAATAAAGAAAGTTTTGTTTTACCCCTAAATATATTTAGAGTTGTATGCTCAAGGAAAAACGGAAGTTTTCTTGACAAAAGAAATATTTGTGAAACCACCACCACCACCACCACCGAGGCATGGTGACGTACACCAGTAATTCTGGCACTTGGGAGGCTGAAGCAGGAGAATCTATGTGAGTTGTAAGCCACCCTGAGATACAGTGAGTTCAAAGCCAGACTATACTAATTGCGAGATCCTGTCTCACAACAAACAAACAAACAAACACAGGCAAAAATGAAGAAGAAAAAATGTTTGTCTTAATGTGAAATTTTAATTTCAAAGCATTGGGTTACTATACAGAAGACACGGGCTGCATACTGTGACCCAGTGGCATGCTGAAAGCAGTTGTTTTCCTGGGGGCATGAATAACACACTATTGTGGCCCAGGGATCAAAGGATGAGGAAGATGACTCCAGGTTTACTCTTGGAAATTTTTTCTAATGTCTTCAGTTCTTAGACCTGGGGGTAGAGGGAGGGCACGTGGAAGTGAGGTTTCCACTTAGAGTAAGAGGTGTCTTCCCTAGGGTGCTACTATGTGTCACAGCATTTTTGCATTTGCCTTTATAGCATTTTAGAGCTGAATAGCTGGCTCTTAACAGAAGATTGAAATGGTACTAATAACAGTAACTACAGCTAACTTTTTGAGCATCTACTATATACCCAGTAGAACTAAGCTCTCTCATTTAACCCTCATGATGAACTTTGGGAAGAGGCATTTGTCTTAGTGTTGAGCAGAGCCTGAGACAAGGATTTGGGTGCACGTGGTTTATTTGAGAGGTGATTCCATGAGGCACAAATAGAGGAGAGGGCACAGTGAGACAGGAAGAGAGAAAAGCCAAAAGATGGTGTCTTGATAGGGAGGTAATCACTGTGGGTAACTGGGGCTCAGTCCCACTAGGAACATCTGGGATCCAATGTAGAACACGCCCTAGAATAGCTCTACCGTCAGAAGGGGAAGGCAGGGTGTCTATCCAGAGATGCCTGTCCCACACTGGTTGAAGGTTTCCCTCAGCTGTCAACTGCCCCCCGCCCCCCCGTGTCTGGGCTGCATCAGGGTGCTGAGTTCTCTTTCAGACAGAGCTCTGATTCTCATGCTTATAGCAGCACAACTTGTACTAGCTAAATCTTGGAAACTGCCTAGATGCCCCACAACAGATGAATAGTTAAAGAAAATGTGGCATTTACACACAGTGAAGTACTGCTGTGCCATAAGGAAGGATAAATTTGGGTAATTTGTAGGAAAATGGGTGTGCCTTGATGCCATGTTAAGTGAAATGAATCAGACACACAAGCTTCAATATCCAATGGTTTCTCTTTTATGAATAATTCAAAGGATAGTTAATTAAAGAGGAAAAACAAAAGATAGGTACTAAGGAACAGGATAGATCTTCAGTAAATAGGAAAGGGGACCAAGCCATGGAAAGAGCGGGGAAGAATGGGGGCAAAGATCCTAAAAAGAATGAAGACGTGTTATGCACATGTACCAACTCCCCACGAGGAATATAATCATTATATACTGCAAAGGTATTAATACAAATTAACATTTGAAAGAAAAATATAAAAAATAGAGAAAGCCCTAAGGCCAAAAGCAGGGAAAGTCCATTGTACCATGGCTAGGGATAGACACGGAAGTGTTGACTTTGCCTCCTTGGAGTTACAGTGGCCTGACCCATGATAAGTACCCACAACAGGCCTACCATAAGCTCCATTATAGATAGGAGACACTGAGCTCAAAGGGGTTAAGAAACCTGCTAGAGGTCCCAGCCAGTGCGAAGCACAGCTAAGGTTTAAAGCCAGGCCTGGAATGCACATATGCACATGTTCAAACTTGGTGGCATCAGAAGATGCATGGGCAATAGGTTCCTGAGCACTCATTAAATATGGGAGGTTGATGTATTCCTTATCCTGTCTGGCTTTCTCTCTCTCTCTCTCTCTTAGCACCACACCATTGGGTACTTGTGCCCAGAAGGCTAGACACCACAGTATTGAGTTGCTGGTGACTGAGCAGTCACTTAATCCTACTCTTACGTCATCGTAAGAGTCCCACCCAGAGCCCCGAGCCTGAAGGCCTGTGGTCATGGAGTGTCTACTCAGTGGGACTCCCTGCTCCCTTCTTGGATTCCTAACAGTCATTTTGAAGACAGAATCTAACATCCACCCATTGGTCTTAATCTGCCACGGTTACCTACTTTTATTTCACATATCTTAAAATATTTCCAGGCACAGTTTACGCTTTTCCACACTATTTCTTCCCCAGTCTGCAGGTTGCCCTGTTCTTTGGCAGTTCTTCACAGTGCTTGATTTCTAGAGTCATTTCCTTTGGTTAGATTCTCAGTGGCACTCAGCCACAGCCCACTGGGGTACCATGGGCTTTTATGAGTGTGCAGCTAAATGCCCATCATGGTATACACAGCTCATCTTTGTGTGAGCAAGTGGATGCTGTTTGTATGATCAGGAACATTGACCACATGGGGGCATGGCAAATGACGCAGGGCAGGGTATGATTTGCAGCCGTACATGGTGGAATATGGGAGGATTCTGCTAAGGGGTGCATGAGATATTTGAGACAGGGAAGTAAACAAGGGAGCACAGTGAGGCAGTGCTACCAGGGATATGAGTGGAGGGATAAACCTAGGACACTTTAGATGCCAGGAGACACCATTCACCAGGGGAGGGCCTGCCACTGCGACCACAGCTGTCTTACTCTAGGGGTTCACCATGATTTCTAGCTCTCTTCTCTTTCATGGTGTATGAGAGGATTATTAGGGTTTTTTTGTGTGTCTTTTTGACACAAGGCTGGCCTTGAGTTCACTTTGTAGCCCAGGCTGGTCTTGTACTTGCAATGATCCTCCTGCCTCAACCTCCTGAGTACTGGGATTACAGGCATGCGCCACCACACCTGGCATTATTAGGGCTTTTTGCCCTCTGATTTCAGACATCTCCAAGCTTAAATAAGATCTTATACATGACTGACTATTCTTCTCTTGCTGCAACAAACCATAAGGCCTTAGATTGGTGTCCTAATGCCATAAAGTGGCCAGGCCACTGTCAACCTGTGTCCCTAAGTAACTATATTGAAAAGCAATTTCCTGAAAACTTTCTTTGGACATAACACACGTGAGAAGTAGACCTTTCTTGTTAACAACAAGAAAGTGTCATTTTATAGTTGTATACCTGGATTATAAATTTAAAGTTTTAACTCATAATTATTAAAGAAGTCACCAGCAAGAACAATGGAACACTTTACTATGCATCAGAAAAGCGAATTCAGGCTTGACTGTGAGGAAGTGATGCTCTCTGCTTCAACATACTTTGTTTTAACTATGCATTCTGGAAAATGTCCTGATTCACTTAAAGGATGGCTTGTTACTGCATGATACCCTAGGCTATCCTGACAGATATATTTCCTCAATGTGTTCTGCCTAATGTCTTTGTTGAGTAGTTGAAAGTATGTTGTGACCAGAAAAATATGAAGGACCTTTGCTATTCTTTAAGTTTGTGACTACAACTTTAGTGAGTATTTGAAATGTCTTCCAACTCACAAAGGAACAAGGCTGAGGCAGAGTTAAATTGCGAGAGAGAGAGAGAGAGAGAGAGAGAGAGAGAGAGAGAGAGAGACGAGAGACAAAGAGAAATGAAGGGAAGAAGCTATTGCAAAAACACCATGTCCAGATGCTACTTACCAGAACACTGGAATCCACTGCCTTTGTATCCCTGCTTGCATTTGCACTTGAAGGATCCTTGGGTATTGAGGCAGTTGGCATGGGGGCTGCATGCATGGATACTCACAACACATTCATTTATATCTAAAAATGTGAACATCCCAGTGAGCAACTTTATGATAACAGGGTTCACTGGGACACTATCACTTAGACTCGCGCAACTCCAAGACAAACCACTGAACACCATCAGCAAATCAAGTGCTGCCCAAAAATGGAGCAGTGCTGGGGCTGGGGATTTGGCTCAGCGGCATAAGCGCCTGCCTTGCAAGCAGGCAGTCGTGAGTTCGATCCCTGGTACCGATAAAAAGGAAAAAGACAAAAAAAAAAAAAAAAAAAACTTTGTTTACCAAAAAAAAAAAAAAACTACTAGGGGCTGGGGATTTAGCTCAGCGGCATAAGCGCCTGCCTTGCAAGCAGGCAGTTGTGAGTTCGATCCCTGGTACCGATAAAAAGGAAAAAAAGACCAAAAAAAAAAAAAAAAAGGAGCAGTGCTGGCTGGGAGCCCTGGCTTTGCCTGACCATGCCTGGTGGCAAGGAGCGACTCTGCAGCTCACCTCCTCGCAGCCATGCCACCTCCCACTTACTCATTCCTGGCCTGGGAATCTGCAACACACTCAAGGTTTTTTCTTAATTTTTTCATCTGTCTAATTTAGAACTAAATAACAGTATCAGAAAGTAAATTCTATATTTTGAAGGGCTTGCAACTCCTAACAAACAAAAGACAAGATTAGCCAGGAACCACTGACATCATCAGAACTCAGAGGCATAGGTATTTTGTTCAAAGCCTCCTGGAAGAAAGGATCAGGCTGGTCTGAGCTCGTTTGTTGGATTTAGAGCTGGAAAATTTGCCAAATTCCACCCAAATGAGAGGTTCATTTGCTCCACTCTCCATCCTGCTGTCTATCTACGCATTGGTAGACATGGCACATAAAATGGCTTATTGTTTTTTATCCAGCCATAAAGTGAGCTCACTTTGAAAACCTTGGAGCCTTGCTCAGTGTCAAGTCTCCAGCTCAACCTGTGGAACTTCCCTGGATGTGTCAGCAAGGGAGCACACATTCTGTAACACAGAACTAGATGGATCTGCAGGAGGGCATGGGAACAGAGTTCATGACAGACATGGATACTCTGAGCCTGTCTCAGACAGATGCTGTGTTTGAGAAGTTTGGAGGGAAGAGCTGTGGATATTTCACAAGATGATTCAAACACAATTAAGGCAGTGTTGCCCCAACATGACTACCCAAGACATATCCTGTGAAGTCCTGAGCATAGAGTTGAAAGAAATCCTATTTTTCCAAAGAGTTAGCTTTCCATGTCATGAACACACCTTTATTACACAAGTTCACATGCACAAGTACGTAAAGGGGAATCTAGAGGGAGCCCAAATTTCACAACAGAACAATATAACAAGGCCAAGGAGAATGCTTTTAAGGGCCTCTCCAAACACCCCACCTCTTGTGCCATTGAGACTTGGGGTCCCTTCTCTAAAGGATAAAATATTTTACTTCACAAAATTTAAGTCAATAGCTGATAGGTATCAGAATTTTATCAACGAGTGATTTTGGTGACTGCGGGAAGGGAACATTTTATTTGGAGCTCAAGCTATGTAAGAACTGAAAGAAGAGAGAGGAAAGAGCATGTGTCCTTGTCATCATTCATTTTTCTAAAGCCACCCTTGTGGAAGCTGCTATGAACAGATCACCAAGATCTTGTTAGTCTTCCTTCTATCAAATACAAATATTGCTTTATCATTTTCATTTTATATATGTAATTGGAGACAACCAAACCAATCCCACAAAACTCATCTCAAGATGTATCCCTCTCTACAATAGAACTATATTGCTTAAATCTTTATTGACCTGACTTCATATGTGTTGTCACTGGAGGGAGTCCCTAAATGACAGAAACTTAAAAAAAAAAGCCTCTATATTAAGCTGGTCACTACAGCAGACTGTTCATCTGACAGACTGAAGTGACATCAAAATATCTGCATAGAAAGCTAATAGGCTTGGGGGTAGGAGGAAACAACAAAGAGGTGCCATTAGTTCTTACCCACACAGTCATATCGTCCACTGCTATATTTCAGTTCAAACCCAATGTGACATTTGCAGTAGTAGCTTCCAAATGTGTTCACACATCTCCGATTGAAGGGGCAGACTGCTTTACCAGAGGCACATTCATCAATGTCTAGGGTGTAGAACCAGAAGGTGTCAGCAATGGCAAGAAAAATAGCCCTGCACTTTCAGCCCCAGCATGCAATGAGCATGCGCATGCACATGCGCATGCGCAGCCCCCTTACCAGGAACTGATTATCTGATGCCAGTATCCTTTCTTTCAGGAAGTACTCTAGATCCCCACCAGGCTTACACCCAGTTCTTCCCTTAATGTCTTTATGCTCCGTGCACATCTTTTCTTAGCAGCGTTTCTTCCCTGTAATGTCATTACTTATAGTCGCATCTGCTCTGATGTCAGACCCCAACTCTTTAGGGGTAAGGGGCTTGTGCCTGGCACTTGAGATTCACACATCATATGTGCAGTAAGTGAATAAATATTTTCTCCCAATAATATTTACATTGTAGAAAAAAATAGCCCCTTATCAAGTTCCTCCTACTGCAGAACTGACCCAAAACACAGAAATGTGGTCGTGGAGGAATCTACTTCTACATACATGGTGGGCAATGGTGACTGTGTAATGATGCAATGTTAGCCCAAAATAGGTGTGGTCCTCTTCTACCACTGAGAGTGACGTTACTGAGGGGCTGACAGCTGTGTTGACTGGTCACTAATTCAATCTCTGCTTTAAGTTTCGTACATCAAGTCAACTAGGTATTTTGCTGTCCTTCCAGACTGTAGTTAAATGTGCAAGCTGGTGCAGGCTTATTGTTGTCCTTGCATTCTTACAATGACAAGTAGTGGACTGACCAAAAGTGTTTTCAGTGATCACTTTCATGCCCATCCTCTTTCCTTTTTGGCTAAAATGGCACGCAAGAAATCCAATGGGTAGAAATTTGGATTCAGTTTGGCTAAGATTCAGCCTTGTCCTATGAGTCTTATTTTACTAAAGAGTATTAAATGCTGTGGTTCTACTTCAATCTTCAATTACTTTCAAAGAGAAGACACCATTTTTAATTTACACATATATTTTTTTAAAGTGTTCAACCGATTTAGGACCTATTTGGTTGAGCATACTAAATGCAGTTCTGTATATTTAGGATAAATGCCTAGCACCTTGACTGAAAAATATTTCTATTGCTTTGAAGATTATTAAATCATATGGCTATTTGATATTGAGTCTAAGATTAAGAACTTTTACAACATTCAGGTTTGGATTGATATTCCTTATAGAGGCTTTATACTTCATCTAAATATTACGTGTGTTTGGTGCAATTATTATAAGTATGTACAGTTTGGTGGATGATCATAATTCAGACTTGCAAACTGAATCACAAGATATATAGTGTTTCAGTCACCCAGGGTGCCACGTGGGGTGCCTCAACCATAACCTCTTAGCTCTCAGTATTCATAGCTGCTGTAGGCTGCTCGCTGGACCTGTGACATTCTGTTTCAGTCTCCATCTGGGCCAGGCTGGGAGTACTGGGGAGTCATGCTCTGGAGCAGCCCCCCATTAGTGAAGGGCAGAAGTTGACAGAGTCACCCCAGCACCCTTGCCCTGGCGGAAAAGCTTCGAGCAGCCTCCCCCATCTCCCAGAGGTGCCTGTAGCTCATTTAACCTGTTCACTAAAGTCACCTGGCACCAGTGTCATCCTTTCCCTGAGTCACTTGTCTGTTCCTCCACTGGGTGTTTCCTGAGATCGTATCCGTACCAACTATTCTGCTCAACTTCCATGGAACCCAAAGCTAAGATACGAAATAAGACAAAGGAGAGCAAGAGACTGTAGTTCTATGCCATGGATTTGATGAAACCTAAAGTTTCATTAAATGAAGGCTTTGTATGGTCCTTGATTAATATTGTTGATTTAGTCTGCTTATTTTCTCCAGTCAAAAGTAACTATGGAATACTTAGCTTACGTAATTTAGAGCAAGTTTTCTTGGTGAAATTGGTTACTTGCTAATTTAAATTAAACAACATAGAAGGTATATGCTATTTTCACTAATGGTATGTCCAAAGATATGTAAATACGTTTTTTTTTTTTTTCTGGGAGAATATTTGCTTGAACTTAGAATATCGCTCAAAGGCCTTAAAATCTTACTCACCAAGTGATGACATATGAATAATGGAGCTTCTAGTAGATGGTACTTGAAGTAAAACATGCAGGGCAAATACACTAAAATAAAATTATTTTTATCTTTTTTTCCCCCACTGTGCATCAGGCAATGAAGAATGAAGAATACTAGAGAAACATTCTTTTTAGCATCCACAAGTATATTTATAAGCAGAAATGACTGCAAACAACCTGTTAGAAATGGACACACACTCATATACTTGGAAGTTCGCAGTGATATATAAAAAAGAGGTTATTCAGTAAAGGGGAAGTCGAGGCAGGAGAAGTAGAAGTGGAGGCCATTCCTACCGTCCTACCTAGGCACACCCTTCCATTTGAGGCCAGGCGAAGTCCTGAGGATGGACACAGACATCGAGGTCCTTCCTCTGTGTCTTCGCAGCCATACTGGCAATTGGTCTTGGCACAGGTCCGAGAGTCTGCAAGAGTAGACCAGAATTAGCCTGTCCCTCCTGAGATGTCAGGCATACATGCTAAGAAGCTATCTCTGGATTCTGAGATGTTGGATGCAACATGTGGAATAGCATTAAAGGACAAGTTTTATTGTATGTGAGTCCCAAGTGGAAAGCCCAAAGGAATCAGAGCAGATGTTAGTGACTTGATGGCTCCTGGTGAATCCTGCCCATAGTCTGTTTGCTTGGGTGAGGCACTGACCCTGTAAGTAAGACATTTAGCTTTTTGATTACATCTCTTTCTCTTCTTGTGTATTCTTGGGCCAGTCCTTTGTGTCACTTGGCTGATCTCTATGGGGTACGAAGTAACTGCTCATTTAAACTGTCAGTCTGAGTCAGTAGGGTAAAAGACCCCATTTTTGAGAACCCTCCATGCATAAATAACCTCAATAACAGTCATTGGACCACAAGACCTATATTAAAATATATGGCAGATACTGCTGATCAGCTGCCTGAAAGCCACCCTGGACCCATTTTTCTCTAGTTATTCTCAACACGGGGGCTGGAAAACCAGGTATTTATCTTTTTTTTCCAGTTCCCTTATGGCAAGGAGTAGCCATGTGATCAGTGTGGCCAAAGAAATATAAAGAGAACTCCACTGGAGGGGGTGGAGCTTCTGGAGAAAGATATTGCTACATTATAAAATGGTATTCATCCATTAGTGCCACTTCCTTCCACTGAGTTTTGTCTACCTTTGATGTGTGAATGACAGCTGGAGCCAAAGCAGCCATATTGCCACTACGAGGCCACTAGCATAAGAATAAAGCTAACGGCTGAGGATATAGCTCAGCAGCACAGTGCCTGCCTGGCAAGCACAAGGTTGTGAGTTTGATTCTTGTTGCCAAAAATAAATAAATAAATAAATAAATAAATATTTAAAAAATCAAATCAATAAAAGCATCCTCACTCTGAGAATGGCAGAGACTGTGTCCTTGCTGAGCTGCCATGGAACTGCTTTGCCTCCAACTTTTTCTAGTAAACGAGATCATTTAGTTGGCTTTTTCTGTTACTTGTTGCCAAACATAACTTCTTTAGCAGGGGTCCATCGTACATGGGGATCATAAACACCTGAGTGCTAAAATATTCCTATGGTTTCGGCCTGATGTCTACAACAATGGTGAATACAGTGGTTCCATCCACCCTCTTTGGCAGCATGCCAGTCACCCAGTGGGACAAAACAGATGGTGAGGGGCCAGGCGGAATCCAATCAGCACCGAGAAGAGAGGTCCTGGACACTAAGCTATAGACAGGGAGCACAGGGAACCCCCAGACAGAAAGAAGATACAGGAATAGGGACTGAAGGTGACTTAGCAAGCACCTACTGATGGTTATGCTATTCATGTCTTCTTCTGTCTTTGGCAATCCTCTTTTAAACTTTTTAAAAGTAACATAACTCTATCTTTTCATTTGGGGAAAGAAATCTGATCTAGCTCTCATGAATGTTTCAGAAGCATCTCTTAGCATCTTTTTGGAAACTTGAAGAGATCATTGTAAAAGTGGAGACAGTGGTCCTCTTCCCAAAGGGGGAGGAGGCTCGGGCAAAGTTCTACTTGGTTGTTTTTCCAAGGGCACTGGCTTTGTAAGAACCCATCAAACTATGTATTTGCTTCCATGAGTTTCTGTATAATTTATAATAAGAAGGATTTTTAAAACAGGACACTTTGAATGGCCACTTTATCTCTTGAGCTTGCTTGCTAATGGAAGATCTGAATAACTAGTGGTGTGGGGGCACCTTGCCAAAAAGAGTCACGACAAGGAGGAGCCGGGAGTTGGGGGCCGTGAGCTGTGCACTAGGCAAGATTTTATAACCTTGGGAAAGCCCAGGATGCGCCAGGGAGTCTGCGTGACTCTGTAAACATATGGAGCTGAGTTTGCTGGGGGCTGCAGGGTAGAGAAAGGAGAGATGAGAGAGAGGAGGGGAGAGGGGAAGGCAGGCAGGGAGCATGGGTTTGCTTTTCAGCTGCAACATAAAACCTGAAAAGCCTTTCCTCTCCATAAATGAATGGATGTAGACTCTAACCCTCCCACAGGACAGGGGTGTTTCTTTGTCACAGAAGGCCTTTTCTTTTCAGGAATGTGAGTCGGAATGCATTTCCAATGGGAGCCGCTAATCTTTAGGAGTGGGACAGGGGCGTGAGAATGGTAGCTGGAGGGGAGGATCATGCCTGGGATTGCATGGAAATGTATCGCCTCTCCAAAACAATATGCGCATGTTGGTCAACGTGCTTGATTGCAGGATGGAACCCAACTCACCCCTGCCTATATGGAGATACAGATATAGATGCATAATTTATTTTCCTCCCAGTCTGTCCTTTTCCTTTGTAAAGTAAGTGTCCAGAAGAGGTGAAGCCTATAGAGACAGAAAACAGACTGCTGGCTGCCAAGGGCAGTGAGGAGGGAGGGAGGGACAGCTAATGGGGATGGAATTCTTCCTGGGCTGAAGGTGTTCTAGAATTTGACAGTGGTGATGGCAGTGCAACATTCTGAAGGCACTGAATGCCACTTTTAAAACTGGTTATAATGATGGACCTCATATTTTATATATTTTACCGTCCTTTCTTTTTTAAAAGTAAGTGCCCCCAAGATGTTTTACTTTGGGGCATTGTTGGAGATTGAACAAAGATCACTGAAGTCAGCCTTTTCCAATGCATCAAGTGGCAAAAGCCAAAGCTCAAACGCTGGCCAGGAGTGGCCTGGGTGCTGGAACTTACTGGCACAAGTCGCATCTGGCATGAGCGTGTGGCCGCTGAGACAGAAGCACTTGTAGCTGCCATGTGTGTTCACACATCTGTGCTGGCATAGCCGGGGTTTGATTCCACACTCGTTCACATCTGCCGGGGTTGTTGGAAAATGGAGAAAGGTTAAACGCATGGAGAGGCACCCGGGTGCAGAAGGCTAGGTACCAATCTTGGAAAGCGCAACTGGGCTGGCTTCCCTAGAACCCAAGGCTACCTAGCTGCCTCCTGCTCTGCCATCAAGTGCCATCTCGAGAGACTGGTGAGGATCTGAGGCCGATGCTCATTCATCATTGGAGAAAATGGAAATTGGTAAAAACACTTTGAAAACTGGCAGAACCTACTAAAGTTAGATACAGATATACCTGTACCCTTGCAAATCCAGTCCTGAGCACATACGTAACAGAGATGTGGACTTGAGCTCACCAGAAACCACAAACATCCACTAAAATGATCCTAATAGTACTAGTTTTAATAGCTCAAAATGCAAATTAATCCAAACACTTCCCAGGAGGATAGATTGATGACCTGAATACACATGCATTGGAATACTATACGGCAGTGAGATGAGCCTCACAAACATGATACTAAGTGGAAGAACTGAGGGACACACATGCTTACATACTGTGTTACTCTATTTATATAAAGTTAAAAAAACAGTTATAAATAATCTGTGACCTATGAGGTCCAGATATGCTTTTCTTTTTGGGGTGGAAGCGAGTAGATGGAGCATGGGATTACTTGGGGAGGTGACTGCTAAGTTTCTACTTCTTTTGATTTAGATACTAGTTTACATGGGTGTGTGAAAATTTATTGAGTCATACACATTTGCTATATGCACAAATCTATGTGTAGACTACTGGAATTAAAAAGTTATAAATACACAATTTAGAAAGATCTGCCTTGTATGCTTTCCTAGGCAGCTTGTGACAGATGCCAACAGCATGGCCTCCTTTCTGTCACTGTTTCAGGTGGCTCTGGACTGGCCCGATTATCTCAGCTCACACCCTTCCAGAGGGAGCCCTGCCAGGCAGCTGGGTGGTGAGAACAGAGGACATTTAATCCCTTGTAAAGGGGTTCACAGGGTGTTGTTAAGCAATAAGAGTAGTGCAAAAGCTATAAGGTCATAAATGTGTAAATCAATAAAGAAATGAATAAAGAAAGAAAATGTAAGAAAAAGGCAAGACATGCTCTTAATGTAAACCATGCTTGTCTTTAGGTGGTAAGACCTAGGGCAGTGGTTCCCAATCATTCTGGCACCAGGAACCAGTTTTGTGGAAGACAATTTTTCCACAGATGGGAGTGGGTGGGTGGTTTTGGATAATTTAAGGGAACCCTCAACCGAGGTTCCTCACATGCGCAGTTTGCTATAGGTTTTGTGCTGCTGGGAGAATCTAATTCACAAACTGATCTGGCAGGAGGGGGAGCTGAGGTGGTGATGCCAGCAATAGGGAGTGGCAGTAACACAGAGGAAGCTTTATGGTTCACCTCCCCTTGTCTGGTCCTGTTCCCAACTGGCCATGGATGGGTACTGGTCAGTGGCCCAGAGGCTGGGAAGTCCAGATGGAGGGTGCCTTTCTTCTCTGTGTTTTTCAGTACTCTGTGTTTTTCAGTACTTTCTAAAAACCAGTGGGAACACAGAATTGCTCTTGAACATGTGGTCTTGCGTAGTGGCCCCAAATCTTACATCGCCCAAGGAAAGACAAAACCACCACATTCCACGGAAAATGCAAAATCAGTGTGGCCATGGGCACAACAGCGTGCCTTTCTCTCCTGACAAAATCTGTATGTGGGGCTCTTCCAACATCCTTGCCGGACCTTTGAAAGTCCCTTCTCCGCTGCCTGTGCCCTCTGCCCTACCCTCTCCCCAACAAGATCCTAACAGCATCAAGCAGGAGAGGAGGCTGAAAACTGACAACTGGACCTAATGGCAGGAATGCCCCATCACCTGGCTGTAACTCACAGCTGACTCCCTTGTCTCCTGGAAGGAGCATTATTGGGAAAGGCTGCAGTTGAGGGCTGAGGCCTGTCACCCTGAGTGGATATATGTGGCCTTTGATCAGGCTGCACATGGCAGGGAGGCTGTGGGGGAAAGACAGACCCAAACTTGAGCCAACTGGACCACTTCCTTAGGGCTAATATTTTACCAGGACTTGAAAACCAGCATGAAGAATATGGTCTCTCTTTCAAGTCTCTTGAGAAAGTATCTTGGCATAGAATCCAAAATATGTGGAAAATTGAATTTTGCAGTGTGCAAGCTGTGGTGAAAGATATAGCTTAGGAGCACATGATTCTTTTTTTGTTTTTTGGAGATGGATCTCACTGTGTAGCCCAGGCTACCCTCAAACTCAAACTTCCTGCTTCAGCCTCCCAGGTGCTGGGATTACAGATGTGCATCGCCATGCCTGGCAGGAGTGCATGATTCTTTATGTACTTCTCTCAAGCAGTGGGATAGAGATCTAAAAAGCACCTCTGGGGCCCTGGCCTTGTCTCCATGTGGGCAGGATGACACGAGAGACAGAGACTCTTCTCAGAGGCTGCAGGGCTGCCAAAGGATGGAAAGGCAACCCTCAGTGTGTGCTGTTAAGCTGCAGGCTTGGAGGCCAGGGCTGGGATGCCTAGGGAGCAGAGGAAGCCAGCCTGCGGCTCAGTCTCCACTGTCCCTTCTAGAACTCTGGCAGCCTTTCTTAGGGACAGCTGGACTGAATTTGCTGCTCTTTGTTCAACTTCCTAATAGGATACGAGACAGTGTTTCAATGCCGCAGTTTTGTTCATGTCAAATTTCTTACCCTCTGTTGATGTTTGAGTTCAGAGCATTCTTTTTTTGCAGATGGTACTGAGGATCCAACCCAGAGCCTTCGCACTTAGCTAAATCTCAAGCCTTTTTTGTTTGGAGACAGGGTCTTGCTAAATTGCCTGAGTTGGGCTTGAACTTGTGACCTTCCTGCCACAGTCTCCCAGGACCTGGCTCATACCATTCATTGCTGGAGGAGGTGTTCAGTGCATTGCAGGGTGTTTAGGACGATCCCTGGTGTCCATCCACCAGATACCAGTAGCACTTCTCACACTCAATGTGAAAACCAAAACTGTCTCCAGATATTATCAAGAGTTCCCTGGGTGGCTAAGTCAAAATTGCTGGTCTACTGCACTGGCCAGGCCACTGGCTCCAATGAGATATTTTTATGCATCATCCAGATCTCTCGACATCAGCACTGTAGGATGTTCTGTGACATCCCTGGCCTCTCACCACTAGGCAATCCCCTCCCAAATGTCTTCGGACACTCACCCTGGGGTAAGGTTCCCAGATTTGGCAAATAAAAATACAGCATTTCCAGTTAAATTTGAATTTCAGACAAATGATTAAACCCATATAAGATTTGGAACACACATGCATTCTACAACTGTTTGTTGTTTAACTGAAATTTAAATTTGAGTGGCCATCTGAAATTTGAACTTCACATAAATGGCTAATCCCATACAATACCTGAAACAAACATACATTTATTTATTGTTTACCTGAAATTTAAATTTATTTATTAAAATACAGTAGGCATCTGTATTTTATCTAGGGCATGAAATCAATGCAGTTTACAAACCACTGTGTTAGATATTATAAATAAACACTTTAAGTCCTTCAGATAAATAGCCTAGGACAAATGTCACCAACTGTCTTTTAAAATGTATCAGTTACAAGATGATGAGCAGCATTCACCGAAACAGTTCCATTGTTAGATATAGATAGCATCCCATAAAAGGATTCAAGAGTGCAAAGATACGGATAGGGCAATGCTTGGCTGAGAGCTGTCCGCAGTGGCAGTACGTTAAGACAGCATAAATGATTGGTGGGAAGGTCTGTTTCATCACTGGTGACAGTGATCACAGCAGGGGCCAGGAAGTGATATTGGCAAGTAGAAGGGTGATCCGCGCTGACTGAGGCAGAAGCCCCTGAGAGTAGTTTTGCCAGAGAAAAGGGCCCAGAGGATGTAGAACAAACTTCTAGCTAGATTGTACTAAGAATTAAGGGTGGCCACTCTTGCTTTGTCATTTATATCATTTTGCACCGCTAGGTTTGATAAAAATAAAAAAGTACATTGTTAGGTACTTGTAAAGGCTCTTTTACTGGATATCTTGACAAAAGCCAGAAATTTTACATTTATCATGAGGAGAGATGGGCTGAAAAAGAATCTTGTCCCGAAATCATGCTCATGTGAAGATTCAACTGCAGTAACCTAAGAAATCCCAGGTGCCACATTTGTCCCAAACCCCGCTGCAATAGTGGAATTTGTGCTCCAGCCGCAGCTGGTGCGCTGACCTTGGCTGCAGCTCTTCCCGGTATATCCTGGAAAGCACCTGCATTTGTTCGGTCCCACGCACTCGCCGAACTTGCACCCAAGTTCGCAGGTGGCTGTGAAAGGAAAAGATGAGGTGAGCACAAAGGTACAGAAGTGGTTGCTGTTTTCTGGGTGATAGAGACTGCCTCAGGGCTGTACAGAGGATGCTCTGTCTGCTCTCTAGTCTAGACAAAGGTTTCCATGAACGAGATTGTCCATATGAACGACATTGTCCCCATGAACGACATTGTCCCCATGCCTGCTCCCCACTAGTGCCACTTTTTCCTGCTCCTTTGCTTAGCATCTTCCTGCCTTTTGTGGTGTGCAAAGAAATATACAGGCTCCCAGACCTCAGTCAGCCAGTTGTGCATGTCATCACAAAACACGTAACCAAAAAGTGAAGACACGGAGCCCACAGTAACCCTGGGCAAGGTCCAAGGTCTCTCATCCTTCTTTCCATCTCATGCCATATTTTCTGTCCTAGTTTTCTTCTGAGTGGTCAAATGCTTTTTAACGGTGTGCTTATCAGTCAAACGGACAATCCACAACAGATTGGAGGCAAGAGAGTGCTCCCTCCAGCCCTCAGGATGGGAACTCAAAGGACGATGAAGATGAAGGAGAAGAAGAAGAAGAAGAAGAAGAAGAAGAAGAAGAAGAAGAAGAAGAAGAAGACGACGACGACGACGACGGAGGAGGAGGAGGAGGAGGAGGAGGTGATGATACAGGAGGCGGCATGATAAAGGCAGGGTTTGCTTTTGTATGCTATTCACTTCTGAATCACAACACCTCACACAAAGAATGCAGATGATCAATGTTTGTTTAATACATAATGTAGGAGGAGAAACGACTGGGATAAAATGTAATTGATTGATTTGGGGACCAAAAAACCCACGTGTGGTGGCACACACCTGTAATCTCTGCACTTGAGAGGCTGAGGCAGGAGGATTGCCAGGAGTTTCAGGCCAGCCTGGGCTACACGGTGAGTTGAAGGGCAACCTGAACTATGTAGAAAGAGCCTGTCTCAAAAAAACAAAAGGGTACTGGGAGAAATGGGCTAGAGATAATTTGGGATGTGATGGCCTAGAGAGTACTGGTAGGATATACTGAGAGAGAATTGGAGAAATATGAGCTAGAGAGCATGGAAAGAATGGCCTAGCATATACGCAGAAGAAAGGGTTTAGAATACCAGGAGGAGTGGCCTAGAGAAAAGAAAAAAAAAAAAAGAAAAGAAAAATATAGTCAAAGATGATGGCTGTTTGAGTCCACCTCACAAGGAAAAGATGAGTACACTGCAGGCTCTCAGCCATTTCTGGGCCAGTAGGAGCTCAGGAGACGATCCCCCAACAATGGCCCAGGAATGCGGCTCATGGTCTGCCTTTCTGTTCCCTGGCTCAGCAAGCCTGTTCCTAAAGCCTTTAACCTCACGTTCTGTTTTTGTAGTTGTGAAATTCATCACCCTTCTCTCAGTTTCCTCTTCTCAAAATCTCAGTGATCTCTGTTTTTTTCCTGGTCCCCAAATCACTCAGTTACAGCACTCTATCCCTGTTTCTAACACCAACGGAGCCTCTGAAGAAATGTTTCCTCAGTTAATGGAAACCGCCTTGTCCCCTGATGTCCAGGATACTATGCTGAGCCCTCTTCTCTCCTCGCTTTTCCTAGTATGGCCTGTGACTGGTGCCTCACTGTGGCAGGGTTCACAAGGCCACCTTCTTGTTTCCTGGCAGGCCAGACTCCTGTGCAGTTAGCACCCAGAGCTCTGGGTGCGACAGGAGGAAACGCGACTTCTTTCTAAACAGAATCTCTGCCTGTTTTTTCCTCTGCTCCCTTCCTTGCTTCCAGAATCCTCCTAAGAGCAGCCCACAGTGGAGTCTTTGTATATGAATCTCTTTTTTCAGGCCCTGCTCCTAGGAAACCTGATATCAGACATGACATTCAAGGGTCCTAGAACCCAGCTCTGAGCATGTCACATGTCACACAAAGTCCTCCTATGATCTGTTGGCTCCTGAATACACAATGGATGCAGAACCAAGTCAGACCCACCATGACCTGGCCTTTATCTTCTTTTTTAGCCCGAGTTTCCACTGTCTCCTAGATGTGAGGCCAACACTATGGCCAAAGCTCTCTAGAGCACCCTTTGCTCTCAGCCTCTTTCTATTTTACCTCTCCCTGGAGAGCCCCTCCCCCACGTTCTGGTGGTTAGTGTCCTACTTACCCTTCAAGGAATGCCTTCCTAGATTTCTCCAGCCACATATGAATTTCCACCCAACTTTGAGAACTCCACAGTGAAATGGACCAGAGCAATTGGCCAGTCTTTTTCTTATTAAAAAGTTAGGTACAGTTTTGCTTCTATCCTTAACTTCTATCTATTACTGAATTCTAAGTGCTTTTAGGACAGGGACCTAACATTCATTGTTATTTTTCCTGCAGCATTTATTATAATACTGTAAGTATGCTTTACAGTGTGTGCAAATATTTTTGAGTACAAGAATAAATAGTAATGAGTAAATAGGTATAGAACATTTAGTTTCAGGGGAACATTTGAGGGCCCTAGATAAATCATAACTGAGAAGGCAGGGAAAAATGCTTTCCAACAAAGTTTTTCCACTTTTAGAGACAAAAGAGATAGATTCTAATTTCCATTGTCTATTTTGTTGCGAATGTGTACTTGGTGATGCAGCTTTAAGTTCAGATGTTAAAAAAATAAATCTTATATTTTTTTAAGCCCTGAAGAGCTCTGATTGTTCCTGGAAACTGACTTCCAGTGTGATCCAGACAGGAAAGCCCAGGATAAATGCCAAATAACACACAGGAGAAATGGTGAATAATACCCTGGCTCTAAGGTCAAAGCTTCAGAAAGATGTTTTCAATTTACAGTAACTTAGGATCTGTGACTTGAACAGCTAATACATAGCAAAGGGAAATTCAGTCTATGTCCAAAAGGGCCAGAGAGTGAAGTATGCTTTCCACAAAGTACAACTTTTTTGTCCAGTTCGCCCCACAACTCCTCCATCTGTAGTTTTTCAATAGGGATTTGTTTGTGGACAACTCTTTATTACATCTCGCTAATATTATGTACATTTTAAGCTTAATGATATGGAGTTGATGCATGCCCTGTTTTAGGAACAGATTTAGACAGGGCAGAGCCCAAGAGCTGGAAAACTCCAGCACACACAGAAGCAGGGGCTTGAGAGAAACAGAGGGCGAATAGATGGATAGAAGAGAGGCCCATGCAGACTGGGGCCTCCCAGCTCAGGCTTTGGCTCTGCTTGTTTGGCCAGAATGATGAGTATTCTCCTAGCTGTGTGGCCCACTCTGATTTAGAAATCAGAAACCCAGCACTCAGGGACTAAGGACCCTTGGTATTAGGTGCTTCAAGAACTGTATCATTTTAGCTGGGCATGGTAGACCATGCCTGTCATCCGAGTGCTCCAGAGGCTGAGGCAGGAAGATCACTGTGAGTTTAAGGCCAACCTGGGCTACATAGGGAGACTCCATTTAAGAAAAAAACAAAAGAAAGAAAGAAAGAGAAACAAAGAAACATATGACTTTACCATCCAGAAAGACCATGCAAATTGAATAAAATGTGGCATGTACTTTAGACCTAAAAGTCATGCAACTTACAACTTAAATATTTGCTCGGGGCAGTAGAGGTGCCAATGATCTTTTCAGCTTGCAAAACTTGCATATTGAACATTCTGCTCAAATCTTCTACACCTGACCTTTTAAAGTCTTGCTTCAAATTCCTTCATGCCTGTGTGTATATATATAGTCATGGAAGCATTGAGGCTGTGATTGGCTGTGCATATGGCAGCCACATTGCTCTGATCAGTTAAAGAATAGCCCTTCTAGAAAGCCCAAGCTCGTCCTCATTTATGCACCAGTGACCAGCCAGGCCTTTACAACTTTCCTGGCAGTAGGTGCTGAGGTTCATGCGACTGTAAGAGAAGTTACAAATCATGTGTCTCATGTGACTCTTACCCCTTTCCACCTGACTGACTTCAAATAAAAATGTTATGTTGTCTAGAAAAAAACATACAGCCACATTTAACCCTTCTATCACCTGGTACTTTAATAAACAGAAAGAAGTCTGTGATGAGATTCATTAGTCCCTTCTGACTAAATAGCAGTTTATAAGGTATTTTCTGTGTGTTCCAGGTCATAAACACACTTTTTACTGCTTATGCGTTGTACTCTCTCCATGTGGCAGGGGAGGAAATATTTAGTGAGCTACCTACCTTGTCCAAGGTCACTTATCATTAGTCAGTCTAGTTGACAATGCCATTGTTTGTGACACTTTTATAAATCCAACCATAGGGAGGATCCATTTACCCATTTCATTGACACAATTCCCAGGGAGATGTTCTAACTTCACCTAACTGGGCAATGGTAATATTCACTTTTTTTTTCTTTGAGATAGGGTCTTACTAAGTCACTAAATTTCCCAGGCTGAGACTGACATTATAATCCGCCTGCCTTGGCTTCCCAGAGTGCTGGGATTATAGGTGTGCACCACCATGCCCTGTTAATCTTTATTTTTCTAGCATCGTCACACTCTTACTATCCCATCACAAGGGAACTGTGGGGATGTGAGGATGGGGCATCAATGACTTCCACTGTCGCATGGATTTCAGATATTATCTAGTTCTACCTTCACCCATGGCCAATCCATACATTTTTGAATCAGCTAGAGAGGAGGAGGGTAGCTGGCAGCAATAGAAGGTAGCATTTTTATTCCTGAAACTATCTAACTTCTCTCTCTCTCTCTCTCTCTCTCTCTCTCTCTCTCTCTCTCTCTCTCAAGTGCTTTTATGGAACATGTAATTACATTATCACACTTAGCAGATAAGGGGCTGAGGTTTGGACATTTGCCACCTGCTATGGAGACAGGGACAGACAGGTTCTGACCCTGAAGAAATGTGCCTCTGTTCAGAAAGTCATCTGGCATTTGTGCAGCCAAAGCAAGCACCAGAGAGTCATCTAGCATGAACGCAGATTTGACTTCTTTACACAGCAGCTCTCGGTCATTATGGAAAGTCCGATAAAAAAACAAGGTAAAACTCTATGCTCATCTCTGTCCTTTCCAGCCTTCTTGAAATTACTAGAGGCTGCTCCAAGGCAGACAATGTCTTTTATTTGTACCAGGTATTGAACTCAAGACCTTGTGCTTGCCAGGCAGGCGTTTATGCCACTGAGCTAAATCCCTGGTCCTAGATGATGGTTCTTTAGTTTGCAATTTGTACAAATTGGAAAAATACTTAAAATTTTTGCACACATGTATGTGTTTCTTACTATAATCTAGATACTAGCCTTATGAATTTTAAAAATGTGAGTAGCCAATCTGTCAGGCAAAAGCTTATTTTTTTTTAATGGTTAAACCCTACTGGCTGGATGATTAATGATCAAAACATACATTTCATTTGAAATCAGTTGAGAAAACTATACTTAGAAGAAGGAAATAATTGGTTTGTTTTTGCCCATCTCAGTCTCTCCAGATTAAGAAAAATATAAACAAAAACAAACAACCTAATTATACTTACTAAGATCATAAGGCAGATAAGAGACAAGACAGCCTCCTAAGGTAAGTCATGTTTACTGTGACAGTGTCAGTCACAGTCTGGCTGGGAGAGATTGCTCTACATCTGAGACCTTGGGGATTGGTAGTTGTCCACAGATAAAACTCTAAGGATCCTGACCTGAGTGCAAGATGCTCTGAGTTTTTGCAAAAATTACCTTCACAGACTCCCTTGTTGTTTCTTCTCCAGCCATAGCAGCAGGCCAGTTTAGTTCCATAGTGACAGAGCCCAGTTTGGTGTGCCAATACCAATAACCCGTGATCCCCTGGACTGTGGAGAAAGAATCACATGTCAGTATTGAGAAAACAGAAGTGGCAGCGGGGTCTCTGCTCTGCTACTGCAGGAACTGGACAGAGGTCAAATGCCTGGTTAATTCCAACAGACCTGAGTTAAGTGTTAAATTCCATTTTGAAAGCCTGAATTGTGAGGTTGCCAGCCTCAACAACCATCCGTTGCTAGCTTTCCTCAATAGTTTGTCCGTTTCGTTTACCCAGGGTTGAAACAATTGGGTTACATAACCAATAAAGCTAGGCACATGAAGCCAGCTGATGCATGACTGTGATCCCAGTAGTCTGGGAGGCTGAGGCAGGAGGATTTCAAGTTTGAGCCCAGCCTGCTTAATTCAGCAACTTAGCAAGACTCTGCATTAAAAGAAACATTTTTAAAAAGGGGGATGTAGCTCACTACAAGGACCCTGGGATCAATCTGCAAAACTACCCAAAACAAAGCTGGGGCAGATGAAAGCGACCTGAAATTTACATTTTTGAATCTGGTGACTTGCAGGCAGTGTGGTTTTGGCCAAGACAAGAGCTCCATACTTTACCTCACTGGGAAGACTGAAATCACTGCGCTCTAGGGATTGTACAGCGCCAAACCCTCTCATGTTCCTTAGAAAGAAACCAAGCCCCATGGTGCAGAGTCACAGTCGCAGCACAGTCAGCTGTCAGGGATTCCAGCCCCAGGTGCCTTCTCCTCCCACACCACCTCCTGGAGACACAATTTGCTAAACTCTTTAACTATCAGGCAGGAGTTGGCAAAGGTTTTCCGTAAGTGGCCAAATGGTAAATATTTTAGGCTCTTCTCTGTCCATGAGCAAAAGTGACCACAGGCAGCAGCTAACAGATGAGCACAATTGTTTCAATAGAACTTTATTTATGGTCGCTGAAATTCCAGTCTAACATGCTTTCAAGTGTCATGACATAGTGGTCTTTGGATTCACAGTCAACCATTTAAAAATGTAAAAACTGCTCTTAGCTCATGGGCTGTGGAAAAATGGGCCCGGTGGGAGGTAGCTTGCCTACACTCCCTGATCTAGAGGTTTGAGAAAGGAAGCTCACTGGACCCCACCAAAAGCCATGAACAGTAGCCAGGGATGAAGCACTTTACTGTCTTGGTGTGGACCCGGGTTGCTGTCACACTGGAAGCTAAGACTTACATTGTGTATTTCATGGAGGGCTGTATTTGATATTCCTAATTCATATTAAATTCTCTGTAAAAATGGTTTCTGGGCTCTTTAACAAACAAAGAATGCACATTTTACTATGTGCTTTCTGCAGCAGGACTGCATTCTATGCTAGTTAATAGTATCTTAGCCAAAGTCAGGCAGTTAAATGACCTTATAGGATTCCCTCATGCTTAGTGTCTCCCATGAACCTAGTTGCTCAGTTGAGAACTGTGAAGATATGGCTCCGAACAGTGCATCAATGGAAAGCACAAAATACAAGGGGGAGCTTATTCTTTGCTTCGTCTTGAAGGGCCCTTTCTCCATTTTAAAACAGAATTTGTAAATATTCACTCAAGCACTCAGAACAGGATTTCTCCAGCTCTACAGAACATATTGGTCAGACAATTCTTTGTTCTTGGGGCTGCCCCATGCATTGTAGGACATTTAGCAATATCGCTGGCTTCTATAGGTGCCAATAGCATACAACCTTCCAAATCGCCAAATGTCCCCCTGGAAGGCAAGATTGTCTTCCATTAAGTACCATTACTTTAGATTGAAAAATCATCGAGCATTTGCTGTACTCCAAGCAGTGATTTAGGTACACAAAAAACAGTGATGAAAAGGAGTGGTCCTTGCTGTCTGAGGCTTACCATCTCCTATAAACAGTCTCACTGCTGCATAGAACGGCATGGCAGGTATCATTACAACACTCTGCATAGTTCTTCCTTTTTTTCCTTCCTTCCTTCCTTCCTTCCTTCCTTCCTTCCTTCCTTCCTTCCTTTCTCTTTCTCTTTCTTTCTTTCTTTCTTTCTTTCTTTCTTTCTTTCTTTCTTCCTTCCTTCCTTCCTTCCTTCCTTCCTTCCACTCCTCCTTTCTTTTTTCCTTCGTAACTTCCTCCCATGTTGGGGGATTGAACACAAAGCCTTGAGCCTACTAGTCAGGCATTCTGCTATTGGGCTACATTCCTAGCCCTGAGACGCTCTGACAGAGAAATAATGCAGCCATTTGCCATAACCAAATCTACATATTAGGTAATTACACATACCAGATACTGTACTAGGTCCCAAGACTGTTGAAGGGTGTATGACAACAGCCTCTGTCCACAAAGAACATAGATTGTAGGGGCAAAGATGGGTAAGTAAACATAATTATACTCCAACGTATGAGCCCTAAAAAGGAGTGAGTTCTCAGAGCTAGGGGAAGATGCAAGAATCGTTGGGTTGGGATGGGAATGTGAGGGGTTTGCTAGAGAAAGTGGGGGCTTATATGAACCTGGTAACTGGTGCAAATTACCTAGGGAAATGAGAGAAGGCTGTATGGTGGAGATAATTCTCCAGGCAGAGAAAATAAGTGGTGCAGAGAGAAAACGGCATGCAGCCACTGAGAACGTGGAGTTGGTGGCCTGCAAACTGGAACATATACAGGGACAGTGTTTGGAGCAGAGGAGGGAAGGGGAAGCTAGAGGCATGGTGGGACATGGAAGGAGTGGGGAGGGCATTAGGAGTCAGAAAGAAAAGGCCTGTGTCCATGCAAACATTTTCCATCCTGAAGGCTCTGGAGAGTTATGGAAGGATTTCAAGCAGTGGGAAAGATCAAGGATTTTGCAATGTACACAACAGCCTCCCTAGAAGTAGTGTGAGCTCAACAAACTCAAACAGGATTGCTGAAATTGTTGTATGTGAAGTCACACAAAAATGAAATTTTTTGAAATATGATATTTTTTAAAAGCCTAATTAGAAGCCAGCCTGGGGTCTCTGGTACAGGTGGCCAAACCTATTTCATATGTACTGGTCCAAATGAGTTAGTTAGGATTGCAAAGAATACTGTCTGGTGTTAACTAGCAGGAGAAAGTTACCAAAAGATGAAATTCATATACTGTTTGCACATTACCACAGCTCTCCAGAGAATTCCTCTTTTTCTCCAGCTTTATTGCTTTCACATGCATGCCTTCAGGTGAAAAGGTGAAACTGAGAAATCTGAGATGTATTAATTTCTCCCGTCATCATTTTTGACATTGTATGGATGGTGTCATTTATAAATCTCTCCAAGTGTTAATGACTAACACTTGGACGATTGAAGACTTGTGAATAAAGTAAGCTTTCCTATCCCTTCCTAGGAACTCCTTCCCCTGTAACAAATGCAGCTTAAGAGCACGGCTCTGTTGGAATTTGTCAGCAATTTATTATCAAATCTAGCCTTATTCTCACTTGTTTAAAAGGTGCAAACAATAGCTGTTTAAGAATCAACTTATGAGTGAGAACTATAAAATGGATACTGATAGTCAACTACACAACTCAGAAAATAGCAGTGCAGCCCATGGCTGCTCTGGGAATGCAGTAACATGTTCTGTGCATATTTCTTAAAGCAGACCATGAAGCATACGTCAGTGCTGTAGGAAAAACTATCCAAGAGGCCTGAGTTTGTAAACGAGCAACATGCCTTTTAATTAAGCACTGCGAGGTCTATATATTCACTTCATTTTGAGAGACAGCTTTAAAGAGCCAGCCACATCAGGGACTTTACTGGTTTAGTCATCAAAGCACCATCTGGTCATGAAAAGGGAAGGATAATTTAAAGGGGAAAATCATTAGTAAATAGAATTGCTAATAATTAACTTGCTGATTTGTAGATGCTAGAGGAACTGATTTATTACACCAAGAATCCAGTTCTGTGTTCTGGGTTGCCAGTTTTTTTTTAAAAAAAATGCACATATGCAGCTATTTAAGATAAGAGATAAAAAGAAAATTAATTATTCAAGTATGTATGTTGAAGACAAAACAATATGATCCTGGGGAGGGAAGAATGCACCACAAAAAACACAGTAATAGCACCACCAAAGGAGTAACAGCAGAGCACATTATCTTGTAAAAATTCTAAAAACTACAGAGAAAAAAGCACTGACTTTTATCTCTAGTTTTCAAATGACAAGTCCAAGTTAATGTTAGATAATTAACTGGATTATTTTCTCAGCATCCTCTCCTTCTAACTGCCCTTTGCTGTAATTTCGTGTCCACTTGCTAACTTTCCCATCACTAGCTCAGTAATTCTTCTACTTTATTACCTGGTTGCATTATGGAAATTCCCATTTTTTGAAGTTAAAAATGACCAAATACCCGTGACTTCATATATTGCAACTTCATGAGTGTGGAAGAGAAGGTTAAGTGCTCATGAAACTCATGTCTAGGTTTCCTGGGCACAACACTATGCTTCCCAGCTGCCTGCCAGTTGGGTGGGGCCATGTGACTGGTTCTAGTTGTTGAAATGTGGTAGATGGAATTCAGGCCATTTTGAGACCTTGCTCACAAAACTCCCATAGGACCCTCAATGTGCTTTTTTCACATGAGCCCATGGAATCAAGAGGAGCCCTGGGACTTGGAGGAAGATGGTGCTCCAAGCAGATGAAGACTGGCCCCAGGTAAAGGCATGCAGCAGAATCTCTCAAGCATGTCTTCTACTGTGACACAGGCAAAGAAACTTCCTATAGTCAGTCACTGCAGTTTTAGGATGCAGGTGATGCAGGTTGACCTACCCTGATTGACATAGTATTACAAAAACCAGTTATTTTCCTAAGGTCCAGTGTGTGTTGTTTTTTCTTTGTATGCAATTCCATTTGTATGTGTACAAAAAAACGCACAAAGCTATTGGTATGAATTACATTTAGTTTCGAAATTATGAGGCATGAAGTTTTAAAAAAAATTGGTCCAGTACATTATGTAGAATATCAAAAATGAATAACTAAGGTATGCTGTCAAGCATTGGTACTTACTACATATCTAAATATAAATGAGCTTTTGTATATTTGACTGGATGGACTCAGCTCCATGGG